AAGGATAGTTCACCAAAAATAATAGTGAAAAAGTGAATTGAAATATGAAGGTCAAGCATGGTAACCCAAATTGTCCTCTGCATTTAACCCATCTAAGTTAGTGCACACACATTGGGAGTATAGTCAGTGAGTAGTGAACACGCACACTGTAAACCATGGGCTCAGACACCCAGAGCAGTGGACAGCTATTTTTCCTGTGGCTCCCATGCAGGGAGCGATTTGGGGTTAGGTGCCTTGCTCAAGGGCACCTCAGTCATTTTCCTGCTGAGAATCTGACCAGTAACCTTTCAAATACCAGTCCAACTCTCTAACCATTTGGCCACGACTGCCCCATATAGGCTATAACCCTTGTGTTTTTCCAAACCTGTATGCATCTCTTTCTTCGGTGAAACACAAACTAGAAAAAAACACTTAATAGTCTATAAAACAATTTACTGAAACGATAAGGCCTGCAGCTAATTTAACTAAAAGTAGCAAGTTACATTAGACATCACTAACCTGAATTTTAATATTCTCCCAGGGTGCACAAAAATCCATTTTAAAGCAGCATTTCAACTTAATTTGGGGATGTCTTCCCAAGGGGTAGATTTACAACATAAGTGATTCACAGCTCTAACTGACTGGCCAATTTCTCTTTGCTTTTGTGTGTAACTGATCAGATGACCTCTGATATCCTTCTGTGTCTGCGTGTGAATATGAGCGTGTGCTTGCGGAAGGTTTTTAATTAACCCGGCTCTCTATAGTCCCAGGTGGGCTCTTGTGCCCTTTTGTACTTAATCCCTAGAGGGAGAAAACCGCGTCCCAACGCCTCTGTTGCACACGTCCTCGCACAATGCTTCTTTTTGAGGGTGTTAGTGGGTGCATGTGCATTTGTTCATTGCTCTCAGTGGTTGGTAACAGATTCTAAAGGTGTTTGTCTAAAACGGGAAACAAATTTAATAGTGATCAACAAGTCATCAGGTATTCATTACCCCACAACTCAGCCTCATACATTAACTTCATAGAAATTTAAAAATGAAAATTCAGTCATCATTTACTCTCCCTCATGTTGTTCTAAACTTGTATGACAGATTTTTTTACTTCTTCTGTGGAAGTTAAAAAATATATTTTGAAAAAACAACTTTTATTGCTGGACTTTCAAAAGATCCAATAGAAATAAACGGCAGGCACCTACGAGCATTCATTAGAGTAAATGCAAGGAGACAACAAAAGCCAAACAAATTTCGAAAACAGAGAAAATGAATTATTAAATCTCATAGATTTGTGCATCGACAGATAAGCTGCCAGCAGAGCTAAGAATGCAAAAACCTAATCTCAACATAAATTATTTACCACTCGAGGATGAATACTTCACTGGTGTGATTACAATTCACGGCATTAATGTGGCATAAGTTCCAAAAAAAATGATCAGCAGCTTACAAAATATTACCCTGTCAAAACGCAAATCGTTGCCCTCTGTAAGTTCGAAATTTTGTGCACAAATGCTGTTAAGCCTGTTCTCTAATACAGCAAAATGATTATCTGGCTGGTCTCCCTTTGCATGTTTGAAAGCAGCCGAATGGACATCTGCATCAGTTTTTCATCGTTCTTATTATTATATAAAAGATTATATAGGGTTGGGATGAGGACATTTCATTTTGCTTACAATTAATATACGCTTTATTTTGTCCTGATTTGGGACAATGGGATGCAGGGTTACAGGTTGTTTGCCGTTTCAGGATGAAGCTTATGTGCAACAGACTGCCGCTTTCTTCTGACTGAATTTCTTAGACTACCGAGTTATCCTCACGCCGTATTAGTGGAACATTAAACAAGTTGTCTGGAGGGATCATCCAGTGTTGTTGAAAAGCAGTGAGTGCCAGAGCGGCGGAAAGACGTAGTGATATGCACTCTGGTCAGACTCGGTTTAAATGGCGGTGTGTTGTGATGATTACAAATCAGCTGGGATCTTAATAGATTGGGTGAAACATCTGGGGATCTAAGGGCCCAGATGTTTGCACAACAAACGCACAAGAACTCTGACCCTTGAGAACACTGCTTCCCGGATTTAGATTTAGATTTGAACATCTGCCCAATGTTGTAAAGTGACAAAAGCATCAGTGACAAGGGGAATCCATGATTAAGTTTCTGGGTGATCTTTTTCCCCAAAAGCCATTATTAAAGAAACATCGGAGGAAGTGGTCCTTATTAATGCATGGCTATATAAAACATTTGTTCTACTTTGTTATTTATAAAATCTACATCTTGCCCATCAAATCAAATGTAAAATCTGCATGAAATCGCTGGCAGCCAGTGGACAGTTCGTCAGAGTTGGGCGGGGCATGTGATGTTTTGAGCTCGTGCGGGGCTGCTGTGATTCCCAGTGGCGGGATCCTGCTCAGAATTAGGGCACGTGGCATGTCTATTAGTCAAACAACCTCCATGTGCCGCGCGCCACGGCCAGAGGAAATTAGAGCAAAGAGCGATTTTTTGATGTTACGCTCTTTAAGAGATTAATAATCTTGGCGGTAGAGAATCGGTTGGAAATCTTCTCTGGAAAATAATGAGTGGAGAAACATTTACTGATTAGTTTAATCCGGGATTATCCTATCTGATGACACCATGAAACCCATGCCTTGTAATCTGGCCCTTAAAATAACATAATTTATTTCCTCGCTTTACAGCGAGCGCAGTTTAAGCGTGTTTTTAGATTCAGTTACTTAGCGCCATGAATTAGAAGGATGTTTCCGTTGCGTTGTTTGTTCCAGTCTGCTTAAAAACAATAGAATGACCAGAAATCAACGGTCAAGTTTTGTCTATAGCCTACTCTGAACTGAAATGTTTTTTTGTTTTTTTTAGAATTATTTAACAAAAAATTTTAATTGACTATTTTGCTTGACAATTTATAAGACTGTTTATGCAATGTTAAATTGATGGCCAGCAAATACAGTCGAGTATTAAGGATTTCATAGCCTAATGTATAATCAATAGGCTAAATTAAACACTGCAAAAATAAATAGGCATATTAAAAAATTGCGAAATCATCCTTGAATTTTCGTTAAGGAAATTTTCGTTATTTCATAATAGGCCTATGTGAAATAATTTCTACAAATAAATAAATAAAATCATTGATAGCTATATATTTTGTCGTTGATTTAAGTAAGAAACAGGCTAATATTAAATAATAAATTATTCATTATGTTTTCGTAATTCGTAGCCAGTTCGTATAAAGTTAATAGACCAGCAACACAGCCTTTATATTATTAGCTATTATTTTTTAGCTAAAACATAGCCTAATAAATTATTATTCGTTGCATAGGCTATTAAAACATAGGCTAATAATAATAAGTGCAATGTAATAGCCAGAGATATTCTTCTTAATCATTATCACTATGATCTCCCTCCTTTTTCTCTGGAATGATCGCATTCAGTTTTAGTTAACGTTGTGATCGGCTATGAGGATTACTGCAGCAGCTCTTAAATGCCAGTTAAAATGCTGGCAGGTCGTCCTGGTGGAAACGGGCCCTAAAAGCAGATTTTACAGAGTCGAGCTCTTTATATGACAGATTAATGTTGTAAACGAATTTAATGGACTTCATTTAATTATCTTGTGTAAGACGATTTCTCTAATTGCTCCTTTTCGAAACAGACCGGATGAGATGTTGAACGTTTTTGCCTGTTTGTGAAACACCTGGGATGTCCTCTGACAGCAGTATCACTCTGACCTCATTTCAAAACATATTTTACCCACTTACTCACTGGGTGATTGGGAGCTTCATGTTCCCTCATTGATGCACTGTAATTCAGTGAATGAAATAAAGCAGATTCTGTGATCACGTCAATATACGCTTTTTATTCCAATAGCCTATCTGTCCAAACAGAAAATTAAAGATGGCATTATTAGATCTATAACTGAGACTGGTTTGCCTGAAAGTATCTGGGTGAGCCTACACGTGTTAATCATGTTGCGAATATTAAAAAAAGCAATAGCGGCCAAAACGTTTTGTGTAAAATATAAATGCATATTAGGTCTAATTTTTTAGATGTTGTTTTCTAGTCTTAAATTAATATAATTGATATTATTTCATTAATGTTGATTCACTGATACATAATAGTTTAATTAAATAATGATAGGCTACGTATAGCTATTATAGGCTAAGCAATTTATTAAACAAGCTGTTATCAGTAAATATCAAAATATTATAATAATAATAGGCTAAATACTATAATACTTTATTATTATTTTGCTATTATTAACCAACATAAAATCATTTTCCCATTGTTCTTATTGTTTTAGACGTTAATGTCTGGCTCGTTTTTAATGGGCTTGTGCAGCGTGCATTTGTAAGGCAGCGAATTTTTTCAAAAAGCAAAAACGATGTTTAAAAAAGCCCTGTAAAAAGTTTATTTAAAATCAAACTAAATGTCTACATCCAGTGCAAGCTTGGCAATGAGATTAATGTTTTTCTTAATTTATGTAAAAATAAAAGACTATGAGGAGAAACTGAGTTTTTCGTATTTCCCCCCTTTATTGGGATATTTTTTCTGTCACCAAAGTAATTAAGTAAAAAAAAAAAAAAAAGCAAAGTAAGTAAAATTAGATTTTAAAAAAGCCTAGGCTAAATATCAAATATCACGAAACTAGCCTATGGCCTATAGCCTATATACACAGTATAGTATATAGACTATACACAGTTAGCCACTGAAATGTTGAACATTGATCTTGTTTCTAATAATTTTATATTCTGATTCCAACTGAAATGCCCCATATAGGCTAAACATTTTCAATAACGAGAGGCTGCATGCGCACATGAGTGAAATCTTCCATCCAAAGGGAAAAACTACTTAGGACCAATTCAGCGGAGGAAAATCCTTATCGGATTAAAAGGAAAATTGGTGGCAATTAATCCTTTGTGATTGAAAAAGGGAAACGCCTCCTCTTGGAAGACATATCTGAGGTTAGATCTGATTGGACAGTGCGATGATCTGCTGGATTGGACAGAAGGATAAATGGTCCCGCCAGAGCGCTTAACCGTCCCACCAGCCTGACCTCCGCAGAGAGAAAGTGAATTAAACAAACTGCCATCATGACAGGAAGAGAAGAGGCTATAGACGAAAAACCTAAGGTTAAACTGTATCCCTCATTTGGAATCGACAAATCACGCCTCAATGGATCTGGATTTCGGTCCAAAGGTTTCGCAATCACAGACCTGCTCGGTCTGGAGTCGGATCTTCAGCCGCATCAGTCCGGTCCGGGCGCAGTGGTCAATGGAGAGGGGCAGAGCACGGCGGTCGGAGGATTTGCCTTCCCGGGAGGCTCTTTGCCGCTCGGCTTGGGTTTTCTCTGTAGTTTGGCGGCACAACAACCTCCCGGGGCCCCGTGTTTTCTCCCGAGCCACATCCCGCTCCTGCAGTCACGGACAGAGAGCCACTTCATGCAGAATATGGAACAGCAACGGGACGCCTATTCCGGTACAAATCGCTTTATTTGGTTATGAATGAGTCGAAGAGCTGTTCACAACTGCTGGTGCTGAAACTGGCCCTTCAAATTTATGGTTCTTTACTGGCAGTGGAAACTTTTTGATTAACGAATAATTTTGTTTACTACAATTTTGTATTTTCTCTTCCTGTTAATACGCTTTGAAAACTTGTAACCTATTACAGATATCTGCAGGACATAACTCAGTAATATTATTATTTTTTTTTTAGTTAAGTAAAACCTTTTTTTTTTTAAATAAAACATTTTTATTTATTTGATGCAGCTTTGTCTACCCTTTGCCCTAAAATATGTTCCTATGTTCATTTATTTTTTATTAACAAAGAGCTGATTTATTTACAGATGATGATTGTCTTTCCGGGGATCACAATGATGGAAAAAACTCAGGGAACTCTCAAAAGAGGAAAAAGCGAAGGCACAGGTATGTGAAGAAATAAAATGTTACATTAAATGTTTATTCTATAAGGATCTGGTGTATCAGTGTCTCAACGACACATTTTGTTTTGGTTTTTAGGACAGTTTTCACCTCACATCAGCTTGAGGAGCTGGAGAAAGCCTTCCATGAAGCGCACTATCCAGATGTTTACGCAAGAGAAATGCTGGCCATGAAGACAGAGCTACCGGAGGACAGGATACAGGTAGGATGACGTCCACAGTTGTTTTCCTTTCTTGATATCTCGCTCTCTCAAAAAGCTAATGCCCAGGTTTATTTCTCTCCAGGTATGGTTTCAAAACCGCCGTGCTAAGTGGAGGAAAAGAGAGAAGTGCTGGGGCCGTAGCAGCGTCATGGCAGAATACGGGCTGTACGGTGCCATGGTCCGTCACTCGATTCCACTCCCAGAATCCATCATCAACTCGGCCAAGAATGGAATGATGGGCTCGTGCGCTCCCTGGCTTCTAGGTGAGCCAGCAGGTGGTTTTCCTATTTAGTACTTAAAGACTCAAATATGTATTTGATCACTTGAATACATAGCTGAGGTGTCTTGTGAACGTCTGTCTGATGTTGTCCATACTTGAATGTTTAGACTTAAATATATGTGAATTAGGCTTAAACAGGCCCTAGGCTTGACTTAAAATTCCTCTTGTTATTGTAATTAAATGAAGAGCTATAAATATTTAACTAATCGTGTCGGCATTTTATTCTTTTAGGAATGCACAAAAAGTCTCTGGAAATAGGGAAAAAACCTCCCGGCACACCTGAATCGACACACTCAGATTCGTATTCAGAGGAACACAAGGGGAAAGACAGCGACATGACATGGTCAAGTGGAGCCAATGGAGCAGACGACTCAGAGGACATGGCAATAGACTTGTCCAGCACTTCGAAACAAGAGAGTAAAAGCACTTTGAAAAGATCACCCCCTCGCACAAGAGACAGCAGCGATTCTGAAAATGAGAGTTAAATGTGCAAACGAATATGGACAATTTTGAAGTGCACATACAAGGACTATCAGTTTACAATATCTCACCTTTTGACAATGGTTTTGTATGTCAGCATTCCTGTGTTATGTTATTTTTTTTTTTTGTCGTTCATCAAATATTTGAATACTAGAGACTGTTTTATTCCGAATGATTTTATCTTTGATGTGTAATAATTATTATTGTAAAAAGTATTAAATTACATGTTTTATGAGGCGTTCATGGGCATTATCCTTTTCTTTTTCTGTCAAAAAATCTCAGCTGTTCAGGGTGACCACTTGTTCAGCACCACTATTGTGAATGTCATAATATTTCCCTGTTTGTAATATGACATGTTTTTGGGGAACAGAAAGTTCCTAAAATGATTTTTAAAGCACTTTACCTGCTGTGATGATGAATGTTTTGTATCGATCAATGTCATCAGAGCAATATATTACCAGCAAAAACAAATCCACATCACAAAATATTAAACATTTTATGCTTTTGATTACGACTTTCTGTTTCTTTGTTTCAGTAGACTAAAAATATGCCATAGAGAATAAGTCATATTAAAATTAGTAGATTGGCAATTAGATTTGCCACATGGCAGGATAAGAAATTGGCTAATTTCATCACTAGGGCCAGTCTTATTGCGGTCAAAGGGCATGAGAAAGCATAAAGAACGCTTCCAGTAGGATGCTGCTGACCCATTACATGTTCTGTTACACAAATACCATCTGGGAAGAAAAATATTAAGGTACATTTAAGCCAAACAACAACTAGGTTAAGCGATTTGTTTCCCAGAAACTGTCAGACTATTTGATAGCCAAATCATCTTTAATTCATGTCAGCCTGCTTTTATGTGCAAGATATTTATTTTTTATGTTTTTAAAACTCAACAAAGGCTCTACTCCACTGCAGGCCTGTTAAGTGCACCATTGGAAGAACATCACCTCACAACAGAAGTGGCACTTGTTCATTTGAACCAAGTTCATTTTAATCTCTGAGGAATTTTATTTAGATCTTTAGTCACATCCGAAGGTCAATGGAAACCGATAAACAATGTTTTGTTATGTTATCAAATTTAGTTTATCATTAGTTATAAATATTATTTAATTATCCAATTGTTTAATGGTTTAGCTCTAACACTACGTAGAGCATAATCATCATCAGATCACAAATACAAAACAATTTACAATTAATTTAATAGTCTTTAATATAAACATACGTAATAACAATAAAGATCATAATAATGATTATTATTTTAATTGACATGTTAGTATAAAGTTTGTAAGAAATGTACTATCATTTATTATTATCATCATTTATAATGGCTAAATAAACAATTTTGATAGTCTCTAATCTCAATAATATGACATTAGGAAAGTAATTGTTTTGTCAGGGCTTTAAAGAGAATAATAGAAAAACAGATTAGCAGAGGAGAGGGGCATGAAAACAGAGATTAAAACACTTCAGCCTGAGACAAGCTCAGGACATAGGAATTAAATCTATTAAAATATTATCAATCACTGCTGATCCCAATAATCTTTCGTGCCAACTGCCCTTAACAAAATAACAATTATAGATGATGGGTCCTTTTTAAACTATTATGCACAGGTTTAGACAGGAAGATAATCCTGCCTTGTTGGAAATGGCCTTTAATGAAAAACAAAATAACCTGATTTTAGGGAATAGAGGAGTTACATAAACACCAGTACGCACAGTGTGACTTGTGGCAAGGTTATCGTTTTCGTTTTCTGACAGTAGCCCCAATAACATGATGTACAGCGAAATATCAGACAAAATATTAGATTGAACAATAAAGAATCAAGTAGGCCTATTCCAGACAGTCGCGTGACTAAAAAAAAATCCACGTTCTCCTACTCCAAAAGATCCACACAAAACAAAACAAAATAATAATAATTATATATATATATATAGATATATATATCTCCCAATGCAGCATCTGTTCTGGTAATAGGCTTAACTTTGACCTCAAACAGGAGATTTTCAGATGCTCCAGTTCAGAGCCAAGCACTAGTTGTAAATTAGCCATGTTTGTTGTACTTTCTGTGTGCGCGCGTGTGTATGAGAGAGAGAGAGAGAGAGAGAGAGAGAGAGAGAGAGAGAGAGAGAGAGAGAGAGAGAGAACGCTGAAGGGATTGGTAGAGATCAAAGCTGTGGTGTTTATGATAATGATGAATAGAAAATATTATGTCCATCGCTAATTTGTAAGTGGCTTATAGCGCAAAGAGCTCTATACAGATGTGCATTTGGCACACAACAGTCCTTTGGCAAGCCCAGTGGAATCACATATCTGAACAAAGCTGATTTGGTTCAGCGTTTTCCTGATGAAGTTGACAAGGTTGTCTGAAGCGAGACCATTTGGCATTTTAATGCAGAACTAAAGCACTGGCGCCAGCCATGTTGCCGTTCAGCTGCTAAAGGTTCTCTATTAAACATCATCATCTGTGCATTGCATGCCACCTCAACTGGTAAATAAATACACTAATACATCTCATATTAATATGTTTGTTTACAATTTTTCAATGTCCAGAATCTAAAGCCAATGAATAATGCATGATGCAATGACGGGGTTTTGGTCTTGTAGTACTTCCATCTAGTGGCCATATGAAAGGATGCCTCAAGCCCAACTGCAATAAATCAAATAAATCAGTTAAACCGCTGAATCTGAGAATGTGTGTATATAATATAACATTATATAATAAATGTAATAAAACAAACTATGAAATAAAATAAAGTTCTTAGCCTATTCAATCCTAGTTAATATTCAAAAGAAAACATTTACTCCCGTATGAGTAACATATATTAGGCTACATGAAACTATAGTTAGGCCTATCTATGAACAGGGAGAAAAAAAGGTACGAAAGCTGTCACTGGGGCGGTACCTTTTCAAAAGGTACACTTTTGTACCTAAAGGGTGCACATTGGTACCTTCATGGTACACTTTTGTACCTAAAGGGTGCATATATGCACCCTTTTGGTACAAAAGTGTACCTTTTTGAAAAGGTACCGCCCCAGTGACAGCTTTCGTACCTTTTTTTCTCACTTGTACAAGTGATATGAAAGATATGGACACAAACCACACAAACAAAAGCAGATTATTTTCAACCAGTAAACATGTAACTCACACACCACAGTGAAGTAAGGTCCACAGCAGAGGAAGCAGGCAGTAATTCTGTCTGATATGTTGTTTATTGGGATTAGCTCTAATTTGCGATTAGCACACATAACATCTGCATCCTGCATCAAAAATGAATTAGGCCTACAGTAATCCCTTACCACCCATCCACTAAACACTCCGCCCTTCCAGTCCCCTTTCCTTCCTGTTTATTTGGGATTGCATCTACATGCATTATTCTGGCAGATGATTTTATCTAAATCACTTTATACTAGTGTATTCATGGTATACAGTTATATCATTTATCATTTACTAGGAACATGTAGGGAGAAGCAAGGAGATGGGCTTCCGCTTTACATTTAAATAGATTTCCATGAAATAGCTAAAGAGGTGTTTGATTATGATTTCAATGTTCTAACTTGTGTGTAATGTTGCTGTTTGAGCATAAACAACATCTGCAAAGTTATGCTCAAATTTCAAAGCAAAGGGATATACTTTTTTTTGTCGTTTTATAAGGACTACAACAACCTCTGGTGGGAACTACACAAGCTTCCTTCCAGGGTAATGACATCACTAACCCTAAAATTTACATAAAACCCACCCCCGGGAACAGGCAATCCATGTTGAGAAGAGGAAGACCTGTTGTAGTTGCTCTGTGTGCTATCATTAGTCCTGTTTTTGGACCTTCTGCTCGCCATATGCAAAAGTCTAACTTTATTCCTTCATCTGGAACAGTTTTAGTTCATTAACCTAAAGTTATGTTCACACGGATTTCAGTGCATGCAAACAAAACGAACCTGCCCACAAAGTGCTAACGTTAGCTATCCATACCAAGACATTTGGGCAAACATACTTAGATTATTAACATAACACTAAGAAATAAAGTAATTGACTTTATGCACAGCTGCACTACTTCCTGAACTTAAGCCAGCTCCTTGTTTCCTGTCTGCCATTATTGGCTGAACTTGATTAACTCAGGTGTGTCTGATTATTGTTGCCGTGACTACTGAGGTCAGGCACACCTGAACTAATCAATTTGTCCAATAATGGCAGACAAGTTCAGGAAGTAGTGTAGCTGTGCATAAAGCCAATTCCTTGTCGAGAAGAAATGTTGCAAGCTCTGCATCCAGCCTGAACCCAAATAAATCACGTAAATCTCTGCATCGTTTAAATGCCCATCTGATGTTTATCCTGATGGTTTTATTACGGGCATGGTCAATTTCTTTCTGTACTTCTTTTTTTTTCAGCAGGTGTTCTTTTTTCATGCGAAATTATTCTTTGTTTTATTATTCTTATTCTATGAGAAAATACTTTTTTAGTCTCAAATACTATTATTTTTTGCTATTGGTATGAAAACTTTCTCTCAAATATTTTTTTCTCTCATAAAATGCTTTTTTTTTGCTATCAGTGTGATAACTTTTTCTGTCAAACATTTTGTTTTTTCTCTCAGATCATTTTTTTCTCGCATGTAATAAAGACAAAATCCTAGCTCCATACAGGGGTCACCAGCTTGTAACAGTGAATCAATTGCGAATTGTTTCTCCCATCACTACATGTATGGTATCAAGACCATAAAGGGATCAAAACGGGTTACATTTACCTTAAATTACTAATTCCAAAAAAAAAAATAAATAAATAAAATAACACACAAACTAGATATTCTCTCCTATTTATATTCGTATTTCGTATCACCCTGCTTATAGCACTACTACTACTACTAGTAACATTGAATAACAGGACACAGTTAAGTTAGTTTTATTCATTTAATTTATTTTGTAATAGAGTTTAAGTTCAAATTAGCTTTTGCGTTCACGAAATTAACAGAACACATTGTAAATAAACCTTTGACATTCAGAGCGCAAAAACAGATACGCACCGGATCGTCTGCCAAATCGCTTATGTGCTATTATTATGGAGAAAACTCGGAAGAATTTCACTTTCCCTCCCTCGTCATAACCATGGTCATAACAGGTTATAGGGACTTTTATTTTGAATTAAGCTCCCCTCATGTTCGCTCTCTTATTATTGAACTCTTCACATCCTTAGGCGGATAAAAGAAGCGGAGATCTCACTGATGGCTTTGAAAAGGATTCAGAAGGTAATATTTTTATTTCTTAATAGAATAAATGTCTTAAAAGTAGACTAGCTTTAAGGCGATCCAAGAGATCTAACGTTACACACGACAGATACAGTGAACTATCTCTCTGTCCACATTACTATGTAAAGTAGGAAGATCAGAAGAATTTATTTTTCGGCCAGATGAAGATCTTTATGTTGAAAACAAAGCGAACTCAAGTTTTAAGACATCAGAAAATATAAAATTATAAAGTTGGTAAGTATGCCATCGACGAGGGATGTTTTAAGCAGCTGTAGTTAACCAAGGTTAGCCATATTTAAATAGAAAGAATAGTCAGTTTAGACAGTGAGTACATTAAAAACATAAATGCATAAATATGCTAAATATAATGTTACGTTATAATAATATTACCATAAAACATGTTATGTTATATTTAAAATAAATGTAATGTGAACGTCTTGACAACATTATATAATGTGTGTAACTTACATATGTATGTATATTCAGAGTGTATATATATATATATATATATATATATATATAATGTTGTATGAAATTTACTTAAACTAAAGCAGAAAAAGATAAAATAAATAGAAATAATTAAAAACAAAACTAAAGAAAATTTTACAAAAAATTATTTCTAAAGCCTAAAGCATTTATAAGAGTAGGTTTGGTGCTTGCGAATGTTAATATGAATATATCAACTTGATTTCACTTTAAACTGTCAGAAATATGCACGTAAACCTTTATCCTTGTTTGAGTTGAAACCTTGCTTCTCAAATCTGTTTTTGACGCATATAAATTTTCTCATCCATTTCTACTGTATTTGTAGGAGCTACAGGACTTGCAACGGGATCCACCCTCACAATGCTCAGCCGGACCACTCGGAGAGGACTGTAAGCCTGTCCACCTACAACATACTCAATTATGGCCTTCAATTCTTTGTCTTCTCAATATATTTTATTTGCCTTTTCAGTGTTTCACTGGCAGGCGACAATAATGGGCCCAGTAAGTACACATTAATAATTTCAGGTCAATGTTTATTTTGTGGAATTAGTAATTGGTTCAATAAAAAAAAGAGCTTCGGTCATACACAAACTCTTTCTTTATCTCCCACCTAGGGTGATAGTCCATATCAAGGAGGGGTTTTCTTTCTCACAATCCATTTCCCCACTGATTATCCCTTTAAACCACCAAAGGTGAGAATTATCTGTTTTTACCTCATCCATAGATTATTTGTTCTTAGAAATTTGACTCGGACAGCTTTGACTCTGAATGTTTCTCTGACAGCTTGCCTTCACAACAAAAATTTACCACCCAAATATCAACAGTAATGGAAGCATCTGTTTGGACATTCTGCGCTCCCAGTGGTCACCTGCCCTCACGGTATCCAAAGGTTAGAGAGCACTCTTATCCAATATGGATGGTCTTTTCATCATAAACGTGTCCAATTTGATATCATCTACATGACTGGGTGGGCAACCCTGGCCCTCAAGACAACACTTCAACACTTTCCTGCAATACATTTTCCGTTCTAGTAATCCTAAAGACCATCAAACATACACTGAACTCCCGGTTCATTACTGGCTCACTCAAGGTATGCTGGCTCCAAAAACACGTCTTGGAGTAAGTTCAGCCATATTACTACTTTTTTTGTGTAATGGCTATTTGCTCATTACTCCTAATGTAGTAGCCATATCACCCTGTAACCCAAGACTGGTTGCCCACTGAAGCTAAGCAGGGCTGAGCCTGGTTAGTACCTGGATGGGTACCTCCTGAGAAACTAGGTTACTGCTGGAAAAAGGTGTTAGTGAGGCCAGCATGGGGTGCTCACCCTGTGGTCTGTGTGGGTCCTATCACCCCAGTATGACGGGGACACTATCCTGTCAAAGAGCACCGTCCTTCGGATGAGTCGTTAAACCGAGGTCCTGACTCTCTGTGCTCATTAAAAATCTCAGGATGTTCTTCGAAAAAGAGTAGAGGTGTAACCCTGGCATCCTGGCCAAATTTGGCCCTTGGCCTCTGTCCATCATGGCCTCCTAATCATCCAGTCTCCCCTCCACCAATAAGCTGGTGTGTGGTGGGCATTCTGCCGCAATATGGCTGCCGTCGCATCATCCAGGTGGATGCTGCAGATTGGTAGTGGTTGAGGAGAATCCCCCAACCACATGTGAAGCGCTTTGAGCGCTTTCCCAGACCTCAAAGTACTAAGTAGTCACTACATGTAAGTAGTCACATCTTCCTACATGTATCCTTGTTTTCGCATGGGTCCGGTTGCAGTCTCTTTTTTTTCTGTAGCCACTCCGACGTCCGAACGAAGTCTTTTGCATTTTACAGCGGGTGAGTCTCTAGTTGTCATTGATGATTGTCGTTTGAACCTTTCTGGATCCGCCATCAAATTGATAAGTTAAATTATATCAAGTGCAGTGAGAAAAGGCTATAAATCTCCACCTCCAACATCCTCTCTCGCAATACAGCCAACTAGCTGAGACTCTTCTTTATGTATACAGATGTGACGTAATGACGCAAAGACATGCTTGAATCTCCCACGGAAATCCACCAGTACCACTGGAATTAAAAACATTATCACAAGCTTACCGCTTTAAAACAAGTTAAGGCAAGCAGATAGCATTGAAGACTGGCTGATTATGTACTTTCTCAAATATGTATTTTGTATAATTTTTAACCCCAAAAAAGCTATGGACTGCAGCTTTATAGAATAATAATTACAAACATTATGATATATATAAAACCAAAAAAAAAAATTTTATACTGCAAGTAATAATGTTTTTTTTTTAACCTGGAAAATGTGTCAACAGTAAGTTTAACTGAAACATGAATTTGTATTGGAAAGTTTATCCTTGAAAAGAATATACATACCTAAAAGGGATTCAGCATAAAAAAGTGACTATTTCATAAAATATGAGCAGTATTCACATTACTTTTATCAACACCACTTCAACAATTCTGCTGTTTTCTGTTTTTGTTTTCCCAGTTTTATTATCCATATGCTCACTACTTTGTGACCCAAATCCAGATGACCCTTTAGTTCCAGATATTGCACACATCTACAAATCTGACAAAGATAAGTAAGTGACCTTGTGTGTATGGCTCTCTCTCTCTCTCTTTCACTGTTTTTATTGCTAAAATAACTACATCTGCATGAACCATCTTCTTCAACCATACAACATTTTCATATCTTTTCTACACTTTCTTCTTTTACTACTATCAAACAATACATACAATTTTTAAGTACCACATTTTTCAGCTTTAAAGCTGGCACTTCATGAATATGTATTTTAATATCAGCTGAGTGCTTTTGTTTTGGATGAAGATGACTATTCCTGTGTTTTAGGTATAACAGACTGGCAAGGGAATGGACTCAGAAGTATGCAATGTAACTGGACGGCAAGATTTTGAAAAGATTGCACATGGACATTATTACTGCACGGCTCTACAACGTTTACCAACAGATGAACCTCCCCCACCACACACACACACACACACACATATGCATACATACATACACACACACACGCACAACTATACGGAAAATCCTTGTTCAGGAGGCCGAGTCACTTGTCTCTGTTCACAAAGGCATCCTGGAACAACCAGGATGTGTCAGTTAACACATAATAAAAAAAATATTGTTTTATTTTCAAATGGATTAGCTACATTTTAGTAATTTTATTGTATAGAAATAAATACAATACTGGATCATTTTTATTGTTTTTGCATTAAAAGGTGTTATTCTAAAATGTGATGATTAGCATTATTAGAAAGAAAGGGAGAATAAGATGTTTTCCATATGTGTGTGTAATAAGGAATTGGTTCACACCAGGGATCAAACTACACTGCTCACGCTGCACGGTAGATTTGTGCCTTTAGATGGCGATGTTCCTCCATTTTTTTTTCCCCACCATGAGGATTTAAAGGGGTGGTTTACTGTTTTTTGGGCTGCAATATAACATGTCTTTGTGGTTTTTCTTTTTAAATAAGTTTTATTTTTCATAAACTTCACCTTTATTGTAAGCTGCTTTCTCCTCTGTCATTTGAACGACTGGATTACTATGAAACCACCCCCCCAGAAACAGGGAATGGGCTCAGATTGGATAATTGGTCCTGTGTAATTGGCTAAACTATATTTGTCATAATTTGACAGTGAACTTAGTAAAGAATTAATTTACACCTATGAATTAACTTATAATTAATGTCAGATGAAAATTCTAATTTCTTCTAGCTTTGATTTTAATACTTTACCTATCATAACTTCATAATTTTGTGCTTTACCATAGCAGGATATGGATTTAAAAAATAAATAAAATCAAAGCCGGAAAAAAATACTTACCCTATTAATCCGGGGCTCTCGCAGCCAGGGGTGAAGAAAATATTGAACCTAAAAAGGAAGACAGGTGCTGTTAATTAACGTTAGTGCTGTTCAAAACTACAACATCATTGTAAGTTAACTAACGTTAAACAGCATTAATGTTTAAGCTAGCTACACACAAAGTTGTTTATTGCTAGCTTAGCTATCAGTTCATTCAGTTAACGTTAGCAGCTAGCTACCTGTTAATTTAGCTAACCCAGCTAAAAAGCGTACGGTGATCTTCAATAGCCATCGTAAGAAGTTAAAACCCGGTCAAAACTTTCCGAAATGTTGATAACAAACATGTTTACTATTACACCGCTATTAAAAACAAGCACACTAAACTGTTTGACTGTTTGATATCGTTCAACTTACCGTTATAAACTCTTTACACGGAGCTTGCAGTCCGAAGATCCAAATGACAGTTCGCGCGTTCGTTCCAACGGCCCCGGGCCGGGCCAGAACAACAACGATTCCGCCGACTGACGGAATCGCGGCCGGATCCGGCCCAGAGTCAGCTGCTATCTGGGTGCTTAGTGCTCCTTGTCCGGCAACTTCACGCCCAATACCTTTACGGGCGAGAGTCGCATGTGCTCCATGTAAATAATATTGTCAATACTGCCATATTAGTTTGAGTCAGAATCAGACCCAACACTATCAGAAAGCGGTGATGAAGAGAGTCAAAAGCAGAACCTCCCCAAACACGGCTCTTACAAAACGTTTCTGAATGGTAGTTTTTTAAAAAAATTATTATTCTATTCTATTCTACTATATAAGAATTTCGATATTGTTACTTGAAAATGCTGCTGCTTGCTAGCTTTTGAGATTTTCTCCTAATTAAACATTTAATATAACTGAATACATGTTTTTTAAAGTTGTTGTTTTATCGATATAATGAACAACCATTTATCTATTCACAAAGTTTACTCAGTGTATCGTTTTATTTAGGTGTAGCTTACATGTGGCAGCTGTGTTAAAACCATACTGTACACTGATAACAGCAGCTGAAGTTTCCTTTACAAAGCCTATAATTTTTTTACAACTTTATACACTGTCTTACACAAAATAGCATCGAACTAACTGGTTACTAATACACAAACAGCGTTGGCATTGGTTTACGTTCTTGATCAAATCGAAAAATTACGTCATAGAGTAGGCTATACATGAAAAATACATTTACAAAATTAGTACATAAATAGCTACAAATTCAGGTCCAAAATGTTTGTACGCGTTTGTCATAGATACACGAAATAAATAGCATAACTAAGGCTAGTTTGGCAATTTATGTCCTTGATAAATCTGAAATTACGTCTGAAATTATACATGCTAATACATTTAAAATGATTAAATCTTACTTACAGGTTGTGGCCCAACAACTGCTGCCTCTGGTTTTAAAGTTGGAACTGCTTCATGTTTTAGTAACAGTTTCTTGTTCAATCTGGCATTGAATTTGTGGACATTCTGGATGCTGTCTTTCATGAAAAGCGCAACACAGAGAGCTAAATTACGATTGTAATTTTCAGGAACATAATCAAACATAAAATGTAGCCATTGTTGACGAACTACAGCATCTGTGGGAAGCCTGAACACAGAAGACATGACAGGGTGAAAATAACACACGATGAGCCGCAGAAATATGCCCATGTCCTTTTTTGGAATATTCCGGAGGGAGGGTTGATGTAAATTTAAGGGTAAGTGACGTCTAAAACCCGGGAAGTATCTCGTCCCATTTGAGTCGTTTTTGTAGGCATTACTTCCTGATTTTTAAAAGAGATATATCTGCTTAGTGCTTACATTGAACTTTCAGCACAGCAACTTTGCAGATACCATTCATGCACAAACAGGAACATACACACTAGCCTATTTGAAAAAAGTGAAATCTCAATTAATTAACCACCCTTAATTTCTAGATGAGACGCTTTTATAAATGTGTTTTTAGGTTGTTTTCATATACAGGTTTCAGTGACGTCCTCATAATTATATCTTTTAAAAAAAAAACTATCTTAAAATATACGATAAGTTGATAGAAGAATAATCTTTTTGTCTATGTTATGGTAACCTCTTATATGACAAAACAAGTTAGGCCGCACTTTAAACGTTTATTTAAATAATTCTAGTATTTTATAAAGTGAATGATAATTAAAAAAATAGTACTTCACCACTGCCCCCCCTTAAAACAAAAAAAAGAAATCATGCTAATCACATAATCATTGAAGAGGTGCATGCAAAGTGGTTTTGTAAGATTTCTTCTTTTATATATAAATTAAAAAAAATATATATATGTAGGCTATATATTTCCAGGCAAATGAAACATTCGCAGGCCTACGAATGTTTTATTTTCCGCGCATGCATGAGAAACTAGGCGCGCGAACTGGATATGATGATGAGAAAGTTTGGGAGGAGAGTGGGCGGTTATCCTGACACGTGAATGCTCCCATAGGAGCAGAATCCATCCATGCATCCATGTCCTCCAACTATAGTGTGTTCTGGTCCAGGAGTCAGAGGAAAAGTGGAGGGGAGCGGAATTAACGGGCAGTTTGATTTTCTCGGGGACAGTAACTTTAAAGGACTTAAAAAAACTTGCCTGGAAATCGGAATGTTTTTCTCCTAATGTTGAGTTTCCGTTTACCTGTTTTACATATGAACCCCGTTAAGTAAGTTTGAAACACTTTATGGGTGCAATGGCTGAGCCGCTGAGTTTCATGCATCATGATCATGGCTCCAGCAGCGAGCGGAGCGACGACTCACCGTCTGCCGTGTCTGAGGATGACTCTAGCGGCCACTGCGGCCACATCTCCCCGCCTGACCCAGACTGGACCGAGGAGAGGTTTCGAGTTGACCGCAAGAAACTAGAAACTATGTTACTGGGTATGTTAACTTCTCAAAAACTCCCTAAAAGAACCGTGAAGACCGCTTGATGTATTGAAAATACTTTTAGCTAACATTGCAGTGTTGCTTGGCGTCGAGTCACATAAATATTTCTGTCTAAAAATATCACAATGTTTCCTCGAGGTAGGCTACATCTTGAAGGAGATGTGTTGACTACGCTGCTTGTTGTGTAGAGCATGTAGGGCAGTATTGGGATGTTTTATTTGAAGTACGACAGGCATTCAAATGAACCAACAATATTTTTTGGGAACTTTGCATTTGAACTTAGGCTCATGCATGCACTCTATAAGCTTCTCACGTTCATTTTGCACAAATATGTTGAGGTTAGACTTTCATAACTGAACATAACTGTCATGAAACATTTACATGAAATGCTTGCTTATTTGATATGATGAATATGAAATCAATATTACTGACTTTCTTTTGTGGAACACAATATATTTTTAAGAAAACTGTTTTGGTTGCCATTGACTTGTAAGGGGACATTTCTCAAATTATCTTCTATTATGTTCCACAGAAGAATTCATACAGGTTTGAAAGGACAGTTTTTATTTTTTATTATTATTTTCCTGTTTATCACCATAAATGCTGCTATGAATCAATCTGTATTGTATAAAGCGCTATAAATGGTAAATAAAGGTAACTTGGCTTGGCTTGGCTTGGCTTGGCTTGACTTTCGGTTGAACTATCCCTCATTAAAAACCTGTTTATGTCTGTAGATTTGAAGCAAAATATGATTTTGTTGAGTTACTGTATGAGTGTCAAATATTGAGGACCCCTTAAAAATGTTCTCAAGTCAATTTCTAACATGTTTCACTATGTTTATGAGAATTTTATTTCAAATATTTGGACATCACATGCATAATAATACTTAAAAACACATACTTTGAAGTTATATTCATATGAAGTTATATTCATGTATATTATACCTTTTTATTTACCGGTATGCAGTGTTTTTATATAGGATAATGGTAAATATCATTATCCTATATAAAAACACTGCTACCGGTACATTGTAACCCTAAACAAGACAGGTTTGTGTGAAGTAATATATATTTTGGCTGATTTATGATTTATTTCAAACAGTAAGTACCACTTCACAAGTCATATAACTAAATTTGTGAGGACATTTTCACAAATGTGACGCCAAACCTGTACACAAACAAATGATTAAAGCTCGATTAACACTTGCGTCATATTCTACCATCAGTCTGTCAGCAATGGACAGTTTACTTCACTGCAGAATAATGTTCCGTTTGTTTTGTTTTTCTTTTGTTGTAACTTCAGTAGATTCGAATTTTAAACAAGCTTAAGTAATACAAGTTGAAGTCAGTGGTTTGGTATTGACCTATTCTAAACATTTACAAAAGTTCTAGTCCGTTATAGCAGGGCCTATAGTTTACAAAGACTGCTTTTGTTAACATGTATTCAAACCAACCATACTCAGTGTATTTCGGCCCATAGATACACTGACATTCATTTATATGTGTATGTGAATTTTATTTATTCCACGTAGTTGTGTATTGGGAAAAATGGAAAAACTAAGACCCTCAGCACCATTCTACCACATTTGAGTGTGTTCATCTGTGCAATTGCATGAGTGAATGCTTCCCTGACATTTGGAACCCAGGCCAAAGGTCAGTTCAGCATGAGAGAGCTCAAGAGCACCAGGAAAACATCCATAGCGATGCTACCACATTTTCGAGACGTTCAACAGCACCACACAAACATATATACTTCCTTTACAATCATTATTGTAGTGATGTGGACATTTTTCCCACACCTATGATTCAGTGACTCATAATCATCCCTTTGCTCCGGATGATGTGCAACATCTGGAGGTGTTTGAACGGTTGTAGTTTTGATTGGTTGGATGAGCAGTAGGCGTGATCATAAATCCAGTGATGTGTGTTTTTTGTGTGAAGGTTTATTGTGTGGCAAAGTTTTGCTCCCTTTTTCCGGGAAATAGGAGAGAGGCTGAGAGAAACAAGACAGACAGGGTTACAATTAAAACCATTTTTCTTAAAAATAACATTGGTGAACGTGGTGAGGTAGCAAGAGAGAGGAGACCCATTCTTGTGCTTTTCCCCTTTGGCCAGACCACAGCTATAAATCAGCTCATTTTTATAGACTTTTTCAGAAAGACTAATGGAAGGAAGTGGATCATCACCTATGATTCATGTTCACGTAAGGGAATCTGAGCAGCTTTAGGGTTTTGTCGGAAAGCTCCAAAGAAAGACAGTCATTCTTAATGTCAAATAATCAGTCATGCAAGTGGAAATTAGAAGGGTAAAACATGCAAACGCACTTTAATGACTGTTTTTCCTCTCTCATACTTTTTCTTTTTCTCACTAAGTTTTATGGTAATAGTTTGTAAGTATATTAGAGTGCAGTTTTCTCTTTACCCCAATGGCTGTTACATCAGATGTCTGGTTTTGATTAAAAAAAAAGAGGAATGTGTGCTAGCCTGACCTTTTATTCTGTGTGATAAGAAATTCTAAAAAGAATGTAGTGTTTGTTTAGCAGAGTTTATTCCGGCACATTATGGAAATCAAATGTCCCCCCCCCCCCTCCCCAGTGGCTATGTGATCGAAATTGTGGGTTTTTCTCTGTCACAGGATCTGAATCTATATATTAAGCTTTAAATGTTAATACATCTCACACCTGTCAGTTAAATCCTTGTTTTTGTGTGTGAATGTGTGTGTGGGTTGGGTTTGTTACCACCAAAAGTTTGCTTGTATTTTATTAATTTGCTTATGCATGTGTCCTCTGACATGTGGGTTGTATTTATTGAGTATATTTTCGTCTGAGTGCATGTTAAGTGCATCATTCATGTGTCTGGCATGTTAAGTGAAGCAACAGGAAGTGCGTTGTGTTTTGGGAATGTGCTTATGGCTCAGTGCTCTGTTGCTAGGGAAACATAAGTCTGTTACCTTGGATTTTGATTTCTTTATTTACATTTATGCATTTGGCAGATTCTTTTATTCAAAGCGACTTACGTTTCAAGTTACACGTTTTACATTCTTATTAGTTCTTTTTATGTGTGCATGTGCAATTTGAATATTAAAAGGCACATTTGCGTCTTAAAGGGATATTCCACCCAAAAATGAAAATTCTGTCATCATTTACTCACCCTCACATTGTTGCAAACTTGTATGAGTTTCTTTCTTCTGGTGAACACAAAGGAAGTTATTTTGTAGAACGATTGGAACTTTGGCTCCATTGACTTCCATAGTATTTTTTTTTCTACTATGGAAGTGAATGGTGCCAAACAACCGCTTTGTTCGAATCGTTCTTCAAAATATCTTCCTTTGTGTTCAGCAGAAGAAAGAAACTCATATAGGTTTGCCACAATTCAATGACAGAATTTTTATTTTTGGGTGGAGTATCCCTTTAATTTATATGTTTAAGCAATAAATCAAAATAAAACAGACAATGAGGTATTTATGAATTATTAATCACTCTTGTAGTGTTAGAATCCATTGTAGAATTAGAATTGGTGTAGTTTTCTTCTAAGAAGCCTTCTGTTTTTATGTTTACAAATGTAAATCCAATTCTTGGACTTAATACATCAGTTATTTTAATACTTGAGAGATAAATCTTAAAGAACTGATTTATTGGATTACTAAAACTTGTGTTTGAAATACTTCAAATCTGGTGTGGGAGAGTTTTAGTCTGGCTGCAAACTCATCTATGTTCATAACCTGTCATACAAGGATACAGTTTCATTCTCTAGTCTCGGCACGGAGAGATGAGATGTTCACAACATTATTTAATTCACATTATAGCCTAATCCTTTGCAGTCAATACCTTCGAAGAGGTCTTGAATGTGTTTTCGGCACATCTGTATTTTATAATCCAAAATATTTTTGCTGTTTATATGGACACAATATTGTGCTATTTTCCATCTTTAATTGAGTAATAATTTCACAGACTTGTCTTTAGTAGTGGTTGTACACATTGTTTCTGAAAGGCATTTGGCTTTGAGCTCTAGAGTATGAGTTTACTTTCATTTTGTACAACCAGTCTGCAGTATATGTGCTGTCAGCGTGTGTGTGTGTGTGTGTGTGTGTGTGTAATCTCAAGTTATGACATGGCGAATAAATTGTTTGAAAAGATAAAAGCTCAGAATCTTTTGCACAAGTGGCTTTAGTTTACTTTAGTTTATTAATTGACAAGGCTGTACTTATTTGTAGTATGATTTATGTTTTCTGACGTGAGGCTTTGCCAGAACCAATGAGATTATATTTTAAACACTGTTTAAAAGAGTTGATCTGTAAGATTTTTTATATATATATATACAGTATATATATATATATATACAGTGTATATTTTTTAAATTTGATCATTTATTCCTGTGAATTTATAGCAGCCATTATTCCAGTGTCACATGATCCGTCTGAAATCTTTCTTAATATACTGATTTACTGCTCAAGAAACATTTCTAATTATTATCAATGTTGAGGACAGTTGTGTAATATTTTTGTGGAAACTGTGATACTTTTTTTCAGGATTCTTTGATGAATAGAAAGCCAAAAACAGCATTTATTTGAAATGTAAATCTTTTGCAAGATAAATGGCTTTACTGTCACTTTTGATCAATTTAATGTATCCTTGCTGAATATAACTGTTAATTTTTGTCAAAGAAATCTTACTGACCACAAACGTTTGAACTGGTATAGGCCGTGAGTGACACATCTAACTGCTGAGCAAATGGCTTCAATTCTTAATAGTTAAGATTTGAATCCAGATGCTGATCGTGGGTCTGTTTCTCTGATCTCTCCCTCGAGTCGCCCACTCTCTGAGCTCTGGAGTTGAAGGGAAGTTCCAGGATTATCCGAGAGAAATACACTAAAATTATACAGCTTTGTTCTTACACTCACTTACTCATCACATTCCTAACACACACATAGTTTACAGGAGCTGTGCTATAATCAAATACTCTACTCTAAATCTGTGCGTGAAGCTGTTTCATTATAGCCGAAACTCAAAAGCTGTGGAGTTTTTGTGACCCACATCCTACAGTAAATGGAGCACAAGAAAGAGCTGAAATCAACACACACACTCCATTTAACATTCTGTCTGGTTTAAGACTTGCTATTTTCATATTTTCTTCTGTGTGTGCCTCAGTACATGTCTGTCTGTCTGTCTGTCTGTCTGTCTGTCTGTCTGTCTGTTAAAAGATTATATATACAGTATATATGGCTGTAAAGAATAAATCTGCATGGTTAATCCTTTGGATATTTTATAAAAAAAAAAAGGAAAAATCAAACCATTTTATTGAAGTAAAAATAATGGGGATGGGGAATGAAGTGGGGGGAAAATCACATTACGAAATAAATGTTTTTCTCACAAACACATTTGGAACAGTTATTTGCCCCCTTTTATACCTTTTGCAACCTCCTTTTTCCAAGATAACAGCTCTGAGTTTCCTTCTACAATGCCTGATGAGTTTGGAGAACACCTGACAAGAGATCAGAGACCATTTCTCCATACAGAATCTCTCCAGATTCCTAGATCCATGTTGTGTTCAGGTGTGGGGACTGGGGTGGCCATTGCAGATGTTTGATGTTTTGTGATTTTGATGTTTGTTTTCGGATCACTGTCCTGTTGGAAGATCCAAATATGGCCCGTTATAAGATTTCTAGCACAGGCTGTCAGTTTTAGATTTGTTATCTGTTGGTATTTGATCGAATCCATGATGCCATGTATCTGAACAAGATGTCCGACCTCTGGCAGAAAATTAGGCCCACAGCATTAAAGATACATCAGAGTATTTCATTTTACACATGGGGTACTTTTTTATCCCTGTGTGCACCAAACCCATATTACTGTAAGTGTTTGCTGCCAAAAAGCTCTCTCTTTTTTTGTTTCTTCTGTCTCTGGTCTCTGATGATCTCTTGTCAGGTGTTCTCCAAACTCATCATGCATTATAGGAGATCTTGGAAAAAGGAGGTTGCAAAAAGTATTTTATAAAATGGGGCAAATAACTGTTGTCCTATTTGGAGAAAAAAAACATTTATTTCATGATGTGATTTTAATTATGAATCATTAATAATTGATTGATTCACCTTTCATGCTGTTTTTTACACTGTTGGTGCTAGTTATCTGGAAAAAAAACTTGTTTATTAAAACTGGGTACAATCAAAGTGTTTCAGCTTGAAATGAAATAGAAAATGAACAAATAAAATTTTTATATTTGAATAGATTTTTTGTTTTGGGAATGCTTGGGTTTGGAAGATTAAAACCATTTATGTCTGGTTTCTATGGTTTTATGTCTACTTCTCTGTCACTGTTGTTTCATCTCTCCTTTTCTCGGCTACATGCCAGATCATGTGAAATTGTGATGATTAAAAATCCAAACATTTCAGCATTGCCATACCAACATTGCTATGATTTTTGAAGGAGGGGTTCAACACACTTTGGTTTAATGAGATGAGAACTTCTTGTAATTGTAGCTCTTTCTATCCTTGTTTTGATCTGGAAATGTAGTGAATTTCATGGAGAAATGGGTGGATGTGCTTTTGCTTGTGATTTTAGGGTCATTTAGAGGTTTAGATGACAAGATTATCTCATTTCTAACCCTTTTATTTCCTGCCATTTGGGGTTTGTTTTTCTGAACTCTCTATGAAAACCATATTTCAACGTTATAGGTAAAGAAAATGCAGGAAAGGGCTTGGTGCTATCAGATAAATCACTCTCTATGCAGGAACATACACAAGAATGTTTAATTTTATATGATAGGACAATCTAAACCAAACATCTGGAGACACCGCGTCCCACCAAAGCAAACAAATTCTCAGATTTTCCTGTGAACCCAATGTTTTTATCCCACCTGACTTTGAGTCATTACACATTTTAGTTTTTCCAAAATCACACTTTAATTTCGTATTACATATTTAAGTGATCCGAAATCTGATAATGGTCGAAAAAATAATCTAGATCATTGTAGTTGTTACTATGTAAATGGACTTAAGTCATATGCAAGCATTCAACCCTGTGATTCTGAAAGTGCATGTTTATGAAGATTTATGAAGTGTTTTATGTCAGCTATTACTCATGATAGTGTGAGTTAGTGTGATAGTGTGCATACAGCTGCTTGTGTGTGTAAAAGATAAGCATGTGTGTGACATATGAAATATGTTTAGTTTAAAAAGGCTGTGAGAATGCAGCTGCCTTATTCTTGTGTGTGTTTTGTGGTTGTGTTTGAGTAAATCTTTGTGTAAGTATGTGATTGTGAACCTGGGATTGAAACTTCTGTGCTTTTTAGTAAACAGATATAATTGTGAAATAAAGTATCTCTTGCTATTGGTAATGTAAACTTCTCTCTCTTTTTCTCACACAGCAGCCAGTGAGGGAAGGATAAATGGAGGAGAGGATTTTTTTCAGAAGGTGAGAATACATTTGTTTATTTTTGCTTATTTCCATGAGATCTCAGGTGTACCTTCTCTTCAGGTCAGTAATTTAAAAAAGAAAAGGAAAATAAATCACAACCATCATTCTTGTTCTAGTAGCATGCTGGCGTTTTGTTTTTTGTGTGTGAGAGAGAGCTTGTGGTGAGGCTTCTTTAAACACATAATAAACCTGACCGAAGATGCTCGATGATGGGGCCAATTCAGAGTGATGATTGATTTGGTCCAAACACTTATCCCTGCTTAGGTTTCTAATAAACAGAGATAACATTGGCCAATGAAATTGTCAAAATATTCTTGGTTTGGCTCAGATGATTGAGGTTTGCATGTAGTCTATGAACAGCACTACTCAAGTTGCAGAATTGATATGATCACTGGTTTCTGTCCTCACTTGCACTTTTGCTTAGTCTTTCCATGGTTGATCCAGGAGACTTCTGTGGTAATCTTTTCTTTATAAATGTCAGTTCTCAGGCAGTCTAAAATGGTATATCCTCGTTATTGTATGCAATAATGTCTAGCAGATAAATAATCTTCATGATTCTGTTCTTCATGTAGGCTATCATGCGTAAACAATGCAGATGCAAGGATCACTTTATTGTCAGTTTGTGGGTTGGTCTGTAATATGTGAAGGTTTTTTTTGTTTAAAGTCACAATGAAACGGAAGTAGTGGCAGATCATTGTGACGTCCATCTAAGTGAAATGGATTATCAAAAAAGTAGGAACAGCAGCTTTGTTCTGTCCAGCGGTTGTCGCTATTTTGTCCCGTCAGGTGGTGTCTATTTAATGGTGGTTTTCTGAATCAGCCACAAGTAAAGATAAATGGAGGAAACTCACAAATGTCTGATGATTTTGATAGTGGTGACCTGAGTGGTATTTTTGGGGGCAGTTGAGAGTAATGATTTCAGTGATTGGACTTATGCCATTCTCTGTCTCTGTCTTTGTCTCCAGTCTCCATCATTATCATTTTCTGAAAAATCACCACAGCGATAGTCTCTGCCAATCTTTTCACTGTACTTTTACTGTTGCATTTACTCAATTTTTTTAAAACAGAATCTAACATGACAAAAGAATTACATTTATGCAGGCATAGTTACCATTTCAATATCAATAAATGTCAAAAAAAATATGTAATATACAATATTTTGAAATATACTTTTTAAAAATGTGTTATTTATTGAATTTTTTTTAATGACAAATATTTAAAATAACTTTTCTATTTTAATATAAATTTTAATATAAATCACTTTAAAATGTCAATTATTTTAGGATTCTTTTATGAATAGAACGTTAAAAAGATCATTTTAATGCAAAAAAATATTAAGTGAAAAAAGTATTAATTACTTTCTTAAATCTTTTTGATCCCAAACCTTTGAATGATGATTTTATATAATAAACCAAATTATCTGTCAAACCAAACACTATGTTAAAGAACTAGTTGACCCCAAAGTTTTAATTATGTCATCATTTACTCACCCAGAAATGTTTTGTGTGGATTATCCTTAGTACCAATCTTACAGATCAGTAAATATATTGCAGTGTCTGTAATGGATTTGTTTTCTTTTTTTCAGAGTGCACACCTGTGCAGTTTAGCCTCCATTAAGTAAAGGCTTTCCCAACCCTTCCCTCGTTCCGTTTCCCTCCCTTTCTGCTTCTCACACCTCTTTTCTTAGCTTGTTCTCCTGAGTGCTCCTCAGCTGAATCAACAAAGGAAACAGGAAGCAGATCTCTATACACATGCTCTCTCTCGTACACATCATTTGTCAAATACAAACACTCTGCTCTCCATCAACTGTGCCCGTTTTTAATGACTTAATGAAGATCAGAGACTGCGTGACTCTGGTACTTTGAAGTCACTGCCTTTTGAAATTCTTTCTCCTGTAAACGGTGGGGTGTATAGATTCCTGTGACAGGATGATATTGGGTGTGGGGGAATAGGAAAGTAACATTTTCAAATGTATAGCTAACCCACATTTTTTTCTGAAATCGTCTGACCCATTTGAGAGGTATGTGCTGGTCTGTCACAAAAATAAACCGCAAACCCCAAAACTGCTGTGTGGTCTGTCAGAAATCTCCCTCATCTGCAGAGCGGAGCCAAAGAAAGCAGTCGAGAGAAAGTGAGAGCAGGTCGGGAATAAAGACCTATAGAATGCACAGCAGCGTTGCAGCACAACACAAACACACAGAATGGAAATGGGATCTGGCTCTCTGCCTGTACAAACTTTAAGCACCGTTTACCTTTTCATCCCATCTGAAATGTTCAGTTTTCCTTCAGGCATGTTTGATTGTGTCTTCGTTTGGTTCAAGGTCATCAGTGTAGAGAGTTTTGACGTTGTCGCATTGCTTAACGGAAACACTATTTAAACTTAACTGAAAGGTACGGACAAGCTAATATTACAGTGTGGCTTTTTCTACTGCAGTCATAAAGTTACATTGTTTTATCTTACAAGTGGCTAGTGTCTTGTGTCTACAAGTGACTTTGGATAAAATTCACTTATATAATATAAGAATTTTTTATAAAAATATCACCAATGCTGAATTTATTCAAAAAGACAAAAACATAAAAAAAAATCTTGCCAAAACCAAACACCTGAACTGTATTGTAAATATCTAACATAGCAAAACTGCAGGAAAAAATATAATAATAAAACATATTACTCTAATTTACAATTATAATAAATAAATACAATATAAAATAATAATTATATTTGGTATTTTTTATTAAAAAATTCTTGCAGTTTTGCTATGTTAGCTAGTTGCATATTGTTACATTAGTGAGATTCAAATCAGGAGAATATTTAACAACATGGTACAAATACAATACATTCAGAAAATCAGTGGTTATGTTTGCAAGACATAGAAACACATGATGATCAAAGAACCTAAGAGGTAGATTTTTTTGTTCATCATGTCACATTATGCAGAATGATGCAGAATCAAACATGATATACCCTAAATTTTTTGGATTCTTTGAAAAGGCTTTAATTTCATAAAGCCAAAGAGAGAAAATATTTTGATGGCTTAATAGTATATAATTGTGTAAAGTTGTTTGTAATGTTTTTGCATTTTGTAATATAGAAGTAAATGCAAGCAGGCACACTGTATCAAGGATGTGAACATTACTGTTTTATTGTGGCTTTGCTGAACTCTGCTGTTTTCAAACTATAATTTCACAACTCTAAATCACAGGATGTGTCACAGCTGTGTATGCAATTTACAGATTTAAGAAGATCTGGAGAGATTAATAAACTTGTTCCCCTAAGTTAAAAAACATTCTCATGTTCTTTTGTCCTTAAGGGTGTCAAAACAAAATATAAACTGAAGCCTGCTGTTGAACCACGGGTCCAAGACTAATGAAACCTGGAAAAGTATGGGCCGTAAATTTTAGAATAGCATGTGAGACTGCGTTCCCAGTTTATGCGCGAGCATGTGCAGGCTTGGGTGTAAACATGCAATAAGTGCATGATCGTAACTGTCTTATGACATCACTCACTTCTGTCCACCATTTCTAAGGTCCATTAAAGAGATTGTGTGTATAATGGATGAGAATACATTCAAACTGCAGGCAAAAGTGGACCAATTCAGAATTTTTTGTGAAATTTATGTGACTTATGTGATTATATGATGTTTTTTTTTTTTCATAACAGACTAAACAACACAAACCACATGTAATGTTATATTTTCAATTCTGATTCGGACCACTTTCCAATTTAATGCTCAGATACAAATTATTCAATTTCTTTTTTTTTTTTTTTTCTCAAAATGAGATTCCAGTGTGAACAGATCATGGTCTAGGAGTGACCCACATGCACAAAAAAAATGATAAAAAGATCAAGCAGCACACTAGTAAACATGAAGGACAATATAGTAAGTGATTACACATATGCCTTGTTACCACTGTGCAGGCTGGTGGTGGTGGTGTAAATGTGTGGGAGATGTTTTCTTGGTACACTTTAGGCCTCTTAGTGCCAATTGAATGCGACTTTTACATCATTTGACGTATTTACAATAGACCGACATTCGTCACATTTCTGCACTGATGGAAGTCATTTCAAAGATTTTACATACTGTAACTTTGGTCACTCTGTAAACATGGAAGACGGCAGCGAAGTTAGTTATACTCATCAGTATTAAGGTGAACGCACTATACAAGCAAAACTAAACGGAAAACTATACAAGCAATCTTTGCTTTCCTTCTCTTCCTCGTCTGTGTCTTTTTTATTATCTCTGCACAAATTCACTAGCTTCCAAAGCACATCACCTTAGAAATGCATACGTAAGTGCTGACTTCAGTGGCCTGCATGTTTACTTCCGTATGCCGTCTTCAGTTCACCACTGTGACCAGTTCACAATAAATGAGCAATAATTCAGTAGCCTAAATGACTGCTTATTATAGTACAGTCAATCTGTCTGAGGAGCAGGTGCCAATCTATGCCACGTTTATTTAAAATATAAAAATCAATTATAAACTCTATTTAGTATTAGCCCAGCCCCAGAGGCTGACATTCTCCTAAAGTTCCTGTGGAAAACAACACTTGAGGTTTAAAAAAAAAAATATATATATATATATATATATATATATATATATATATATATAATTGCTACAGTTTAATGCTCAGATTTTTTTTTTCCTGAAAGAAATTGGGTTTGTTGCCAAAACTTCTCATGAGAACTGCTGTACAGTAAAGCCTTGCTGACCACGAAAGCCAAGGGTTTTTTAAAGGCAGGAAGATAGAGAGTCTGGCACAAACGGGTAAAGAAATGTGTTTTCTATGGAGACAAAGGAGTGTGTTTCCAAAGTTGCGGTTTTCTCTAAAAAATGAATTTACATGAAAGACAAGACCATTAAAAAGTAGTGAAGCGCTCTCTGCCTTCTTCCAGAGAAGTATTGAGCTCCAGGCAAAATCTTGGCAGAGTTTTATAAAACATTGAACCTGTATATTCATGTAGCTTGCAAATTACCATAAGTTTCTCTTTTGTATATTTAAATGGACTTAAAACCCGTTGCCATTCTTGCTTTTTCTCTCTTTTCCTTCACACATGCTACTGGTTAGCACGCTAGGCCTGTCAAAGGCTCGCTGCCAACTGGCTGTTACATGTTTCACAGGTTTTTGAGCCAGCTGTGTATATGTGTGTGAAACTGAGAAAGTAGGGCATGTTTTAGCCAGAGAGAGCGATGATTGTAAGACCTCTGTTAAAACAGCCTGACCATTTCTGTCAGTGTGAATATTTTAGCAGAACTGAAAAAGTTCTTGTGTTTGTTTGAGAATGACAAAACATTGATTTGCTAATATTAGCATAGCAAGCCTATGTGTTTTTAATGCATATTTGAGTGTTTTACATTGCATTCGCATCCACTCATGTTCATTTTTTGTGTTTAAGGTCATGGATGAAACAAACACTCAGATTGCCTGGCCATCCAAACTGAAGATTGGAGCAAAGTCCAAAAAAGGTATACACACGCACACAGACAGACAGACAATAGTTACGGCAGAAGTCTCTGCGCTAGTCACACAGCATAAACTTACAATCTGTTCACAAGCAGCCATGTCTAATTTAGAATATGGTTATATTCAGTTGGTGTCCTGCTGTCTTTTTTCAGTATCACAATCGTGTTTTGTCTGTCCGTTGGTTGTTTGTTTGGAATATCTTACAGTTTTAAAAAGGTACCGGAAACTCATCATCACAGTCTGTAAAAATGGTCCATTAGAATGATTAGAAGGGTCATGTGACACTGAAGACTGATGGAAATTCAGCTTTGCCATCTCAGGAATAAATTATGCTTTAAAATACATTGATATAAAAAAAGTATTTTAAATGGTAATAATATTTCACATTATTACTGTTTTTATTTAGTGAGCTTTTAAAACATTTCCATTTTATATAAAACCTAAAAGGTAACTAACAGCAGAGATTAGGTATAGCAAGTCTGTAATTTTCTGTGGCAACAGTTCAGACTGAAATGTTGGCTTTAATAAGCCATAGAATGTAATCAGGCCCATAAGGGTTTTCCTAAATGATTCATGTGAGCGGATCTGGCAACACTAGGCAAACACTAGGCGAATCTAGTGTGGGTGAAGAGTGACATGGAGCTGGATGGATTAGGTCTCTCTAAATTAGTTAATGTTTTTTGCTACCTTGAATGTTTAAAAGACAGGCCAGTTTGCTGTAATCATAAGTCTTATTCAAAAGATGACAGGCTCTTAATTTTCCATCTAACTGACGATATATGAATGTACTTTTGTTGCTAATATTTTGTGAAGCTGTTTTTGTGCTTATCTGTCTGCCAGTTTGCACACATTTTTCTTTATGTGGCTCATTTCCACATGACTAAAAGACTCAAAGAGTGTGTTTTAAGATGAAGACTGTCTTATCCGTCACCTCATGGGCGCTGCCATGATAAGATCAACAGCAAAATTTCGACATTTTTGCTCGTCTAAATTGATAACTGACTTTTAATGAACACTTCTAAAATTATATTGGTAACCGGCCGCAAACTTTTACTAAATATACTGAACCACCATACAATGAAAAACAATTCGAAAATCCATTCACTCCTTTTTTATAATCCTCAAAAAGTCTAGACACTCTCAATAATTTGGCCGTTTGGATTTTCTGAGCACTATGATGTCATAATGCTCATGCTCTGCTCACGACCACTGACGGATTGTCCCGTATTAGCATATTTCTGCCCTCAGCCATTCGACACCCCCATGGGAGAGAGGGGTGGGGTGAGCTGTTGCTCATTATCATTTAAAGAGACATGTACCAAAACAGGTCACTGTGAACAGAGCTGTTTTTGAGGAGGGAAAAATGGTGGTTTTACACAACCATTGAGATATTTTAACCAAAGTATATTACAAACTTTACATGAACACCCTAAAGAATCATACCAACTTGTGGAAAATGGACATCCGATGACCCCTTTTAAAGTACCATTATTTCTTCAGAATCAGTCATTTTGGATGTGCCCAAGATCTCTCTTTCTTTTCATCTCTGCACATTTTCCCTACTTTGTTTTTTTTCCTGATTTCTGTATTTCTGTAAAGTCCTGTTGATCTTGTTTTAAATAATGGTCACTGTTATGGTTAACGGTTAGACTCGCATGCAAAACTATATTTTACTTTTCCAGGTCTCAAACTGTTTTCTCATTTTCTTTCCCTTTTTTCCTTCTTAAATGTTTCAGCCTCTGTAACAGATGTTATCAATCTGAGAGATGTCGTTTCCACTCTGTCCTGAGTCAGTAAAGCACTTTTAAATGAGGCTGTCGGACAAAACAAAATCAGTCTCTACTGGAGTGTAGAGAGACCAGACAGTTGTTTTTTGACAACAGGAATAAGTGACTAGGTTATCCGGCCACCGGGAATGTGAGGCAAAATGCAAAAAGTGATTTGGTGGCCATTGGGTCTGTGAAAGTGCTATATAAATGCAGTCCATTTACCATTTACCGTGTCTATGTGTGTTTGTATATGAATATAATATATATAATATTATTAACTATGATTCATAAGTTTGGGCTCAGTATGATTTATGTTTTATGAAAGAAATTAATACATTTACTACAAGGATACGTTAAATTGATTAAAAGTGACAGTAAAGACTTTTATAATGTTACAAAAAAACATTTCTGTCAAATAAATGTTCTTTTGAAATTTTCGTCAAATAATCCATGAAAACTGATCATGGTTTAAAGAAAAAATATTCAATATTCAAAACCATTTTCAACAATGATAATAAGACATGTTTCAGCAAATCAGCATATTAGAATGATTTCTGAAAATTTAGCTTTGCCATCACAGGAATAAAGTGCATTTTAAGATGCAATAAAATAGATGACACTTAATTAAAAAAAAAAGTAATAATATTCTAGTATTCACAATATTACTATTACTATATTTTTGACCAAACATTTGAACGATAGTGTGGATGTGTATATATATATATGTGTGTGTGTGTGTGTGTGTGTGTCTGTGTGTATTGTGTGTGTGTGTGTGTGTGTGTGTATATATATATACAGTATATTCAAAACCATATAGATGTGTGTGGGTGTGTATATATATATATATATATATATATATATATAGATGTACATGTGTGTGTGTGTGTGTGTGTTTATACTGTACAGATAAACCCTTATATTTAGAACTTCAAATGAAAGACAGACATTGGTGTTGATGTATTAACCTTGTTTATGCACGCATGAACTATTCGATTTTTCACAGACATGCATAGACATTCTCCATTCATAACACATGCCACACATGCAACCCCACACAAACACACACATGCTGGAGTTGATGAATACCACATGGCAGGAAGAGGATAGTGTGGTGGGCTGGACTAGGAGACCCCTACTGGTGTTACTATAATACATCCCCCAGAAACAGTGCAGTGTGTGTGTATGTGTGTTTGCGTTTGTATGCTTGTGTAAGACAGTGATCATTCCTGGCTGTTTCATCCCCCCTGCGCTTCTAGGTCCAAATCCTGTAGTTTGTGGGAGTGTTTTGGGGGGTGAGTAAGTCAGAGAATAAGTGTAGAGAATAACAGACATTCCAAGTTACACTACTAGAGCTATTTTTAGAGAGCAGCAGTAAAGCAGCTATTTCTCATGATGTATGTTGGGGGTGTCTTTGTGGAAAACTGAAAGAGAAAAGTGTTCAATCTTGAGAACACTGCTTTTGAAACCAGTTGTGATTTCATTCATGGTGTAACATAAAAGCGCAAATTGTGTTGTGAAGCACCTTTTATTAATAAATGACTTCCTTCTCCTGTCCTTTACTCATCATCTGCTTTCTTCCTGCCCTCCACACAGATCCACATATTAAGGTCAGCGGAAAGAGGGAAGATGTGCGAGAGGCCAAAGAGACAATAATGTCCGTTCTTGACACAAAGGTAAGCACTAAACATATGATTTTCATGGTAACTGCAGGTACCATTTGGGTTCACTATATATAAAAAAAAAATATAAGTCAGTATAGTTCAAGGATGTTAATACGAACATCTTTAAAGGCTAAATTGCATAAGATATTAGCAGACAAAATGTATTTTTCTTACCACACTGAGAATTTTTTTTCTTGTTTTCAGCATAAATATTTCTTGTTTAATAAAAATCTGGCAAAATATATAGCAAAACTGCTATGACCAATCAGAAGATAGTAAAATTGTGTAATGTTACAATGAACCTTGTTTTATATAAATACATTATTTTAAAATGGCATTTATTCCTACGATGCAAAGCTGAATTTTCAGCATCATTACTCCAGTCTTCATTGTCACATGATCCTTCAGAACTCATTCTAATATGCTGATTTGCAGCTCAAAAACATTTCTTAGCATTATCAATAATGAAAACAGTTGTGCTGCTTAATATGTTTGTGTGAGTCCTTTTTTTCAGGATTTGTTAATGAATAGAATGTTCTTTTCTGTCTATGTTGATCAATTTAAAGTCTTCTGGCTGAATAAAAATAGGAATTTCTTTATGTAAAAAAAAATTACTGAAGATTTTAAAATGTTTTGGAAAAACTTTTGAACGTCTGTGTATCTGAATGCAGTCTACTGAGAGTTATGAACAGGATTAAATGATTTTAATTGAGCTATGAAAGGTTTACATGAATGCTGTGTTACGACCTTTGACACCCACAGAGTAATCGAGTGACCCTGAAGATGGACGTATCACACACAGAACACTCGCATGTTATTGGGAAAGGAGGGAATAACATCAAACGAGTTATGGAAGAGACGGGCTGTCACATACACTTTCCAGACTCCAACAGGCACAGCCAGGGGGAGAAGAGCAACCAGGTAGACACACACACCAACAAGACCAGCAACAAGTCATACATTTTTTTTTCATACCCATTTTCAAGTGATTTATTCAAAGTTCACTGTGGTGTACTGGTACAACAGAGGGAGGATTTCCAGCAAATAATTACTGACATTTTGGTCTTTTACTTGAATACATGAGGGGGTGAATACATAATGCCAGAATTTCTACTACTATGGGAATGTGTTTAGTTTTTTGTGCTAATTTAGCAAGCACACAGCAAATCTCTTCCATCCAGCCAACTTTGACTATCCAGCAGTGGCTGAACTCTAGCTGAATCATTTTATTGGCCGAGGGACACGAGGCAGTTTGTATTGGCCGGAGGATGAGAACGGTTTGGAGTAAGATGGATCTGATTGGCTGTTGGATGGCTCTCAGGTTTAAATAGACTGCTGAGTGGTCTGACGAGGCGTGCAGACAGTTTGGAATGTTAGAAGCATACAAGCGCACGCATGCACAAACACCGACTTCAGAGCCAAACCAGATGGACTCTCTGAACTGGGCCGAATCACCTCGTTCCAAACCGGGATTAATTCTCACAGGCCTTGATTAAACGTGTGGTCGTCGAGATGAAATGATGAGGAAAAAAACAAAACAAAAAAACAGCAGGATGTTTAATTAAGGTTTTTTAGACTGGCAGACTGCCACACACTTACTCCTATTTAATGTTTCAATTGGTAATAAATCAGGTTTCTGGATGTGACATTGCAACCTATTAAAAAAATTCTTACAGGATGAGAGAAAGGAATAAACAGCTGCACATTATTATGAAAAAAACAAAATCAGAACAATCGTCTTTTTGTCCACTTCTTTTTCTGTCAGGTGTCGATTGCGGGGCAGCTGACTGGTGTTGAGGCAGCACGAGTTAAAATACGGGTGAGACTCCGTTTATGAGCTTACTTTCTTCTTTTCTTTCATGGTCACTTGTCACTATGTGCGCAGGCCAGAGGTTTAAAAACTTTTTGATTCCACCGAACCCCATATATGATGAAGGACCATTTATAATGTAGCAAGGATTACATTATAAAGACAATGTCTCCAAAAATGGATAACTGTTTTTTGTTAGTGATTGTTCTAAATCCTAAAATATTTACTTGAAAATATTCACAATTAAGTTTACATATTTTTTTTCTACCCACTATTAGATGTATTTACCTGAAGAGAAACCCTTTCACTTTAAATTAAATGTATTTTTAAGTGCTTATAACAACACTTTTGCAGATAATTTTGCCTTAAAGTGTTTTTTTTTTTATCAAAGCCATTTCAATATATTTCTAAATTAAGATGTTTAGCTATTTGATTTATAAGGCTGGACAGCCCTAAATACACTGTTTTTCCTTTCTAATTTTCTGCTCTAACGCCCCCTTGTGGCCCAGTTTGAAAGGCCAATCATAGATTAGGGGCTTTATGTGTTGCACCCTAGTGGTTAAAAATGTCATAACTTCTTGTTGTGTGTTGTCTTCAGCCTGTGTGTTGTTTTCAACTCAAAAGCATCACTCTTCCCCATCCTCTCTGTAGGAGCTGTTGCCGTTGATGCTGATGTTTGAATGCAGTGGTGTGGTGCAGCATGTGGACTGTAGCTCTCCTGTAGTTCAGCATATCTCCCACACTTACAACGTCTCCATCTCCTTCAAAGCACCCTCCCGTCTCTATGGCAACACTGCCATCGTCCGTGGCAACCAGAACAATGCCAGTGGTGTTAAGGTGAGACATACAAATGAATTTATTGCTGTGATGACAAAGCTGAATTTTCAGCATCATTACTCCAGTCTTCAGTGTTTCATGATCCTTCTGGATTCATTTTAATATGGCGATTTGATACCAAAGACAAATTTGTTATTATTAATGTTGAAAACCAAAATGCTCACCAAAAAGCATCTTTTGCAACGATGTTTGTGTGAGCATATCAGAGACCACTCGTGAGTTTCACGTCTTAGTAAAATAAAGTTTAATGCGTTTTATGAATGATTGTTCCAGTGGACCTATGCAACCATTGTGGAGGTGGAGGGGTGCTACCACAGAAACCAAAAATTCTCGGGACAGCAGCATGTGTTCAAATTCTTAACTTTTCTATTTCATCAGAAACAATCTTAAAACAAGGCCTTAAGCGTAAAATACCAAATTTGTCCTTTAACATATTTGTGGAAACTGATGCATATTTTTTTTGAGGATTCTTTGAAGAATAAAAAACTTGGAAGTAGAGTGTAGAATGTTTGATCAGCTTAATGCGTTTTTGCTGACTTAAAGTATTAATTTCTTACTTTTTTGTAATCTTCGTGACCACAAACATTTGAACTATAGTATTAAAACCATTTCAAATTTACTAAAATAAATGGTAAACGCATGGTAACAGTTTTAACATGATGACCTTCCAATGTCAATGTCAAAAAATAAAATGGTAAAATCTAAATTTATTAGTGAAAGTGATCCCCTAAAAGTGCACATAGTTGACTCAAAACCTGCTGAAGTGGCATTCATTAGCAGATCTGAAATGAGCGAGCTCTTGAGTAGGAGAAGCAATGAAACTAGGTCATTTCATGAAATGGAGAGATTTAGTTTTCGAGTAGAGCTGCCAGAAATTAAACTGAAAACAGCAGCCTCCACCACATAATGTAAGGCATTACAAGAGATGGGTGACGGTTTTATTAGTGTGTGAGTATGTGTAAGCTTATATGCTGGCATCCCTGTGTGTGTTTGTGTTGCTGCAGAGATATAGCTAGTGTGTGCTGCTAACATGTTTGCGTGTTTCAGCGCGGTACGGCTTTGTTATTGGAGCACCTCGCTGGGTCTTTGGCCGGCTCAGTGCTGGTCAGCACACAACTGGACATCGCGCCCCAGCACCACCACTTCCTTTTGGGCCGCAACGGAGCCAATGTCAAACACATTTCCCAGCGCACCGGAGCCAATATTCACTTCCCCGAGCACAACACTCACACTAGCCGCTCTGCTGTCTACATACAGGGCAGTGTTGATGGTGTATGTGCGGCTAGACAGCAGCTAATGGTATGGCAACAGTTTATTTGTCTTTTTTCTATTCTGTCTTTTGCTCTTTAGTTTAATATCTCCCTCCATATTTGTGGCCAGTCTGCCAAACAGAACACATGTTGTGTTGAAAGAGATGACATTGAGAGAGATGTTTCGATGAGAGTCTGTAAGTACTGACAGATGATGAGACTCATGCCGGGCTGGATGAAGACTTCGAGGCTTTAGCAACTTGCCCGACCAGAGGGATTTGAAAACTTTTGCCAGATTTTTTTTCCTCTCTGATCTTGTTTTTTCTTTTTTCAGAATTAGCCACGCTGCCATTTCAAATGATAAAATCTGTGATGGGGCTCGTCCGAATACCATTTTACCAATACCAATACTCCTTTTAATAGTACAGCCACAAAATGTGAACAATATAAATATTAACATGATTTTTCTGTGATAAAATTATATCCACTTTTTATATTCACTTCTATTGTACGTGCCTCATAACCTTTATTTTTTTAGAACAACTATTGAAAAAAAATATGTGGTAAAATAATAATTATAATTAGAAATAAATACATTATATTATATTAATTATAATAATTAAATATATATATATATATATATATATTTTAAAAAATGTGGGTTGAGTTTAACCCAGTACATTCATTATATAATTAGGCTGAATCAGTTAATAAGGTAAAAGGTTGTGATTTTTCAGAATTGATTTGTATGCGTGTTTGAATGCATGTATATTTTAGGGTTGTCTGCCGTTGGTGCTGCTGTTTGACATTAAGGAGGAGATGGAGGTGGCATCTCAGGTCGTCACTACACTTATGGAGCAGCTAGACGTCTTCATCAGTATTAAACCGAAACCGAAACAACCAGGCAAGGTAACAAAAGCCCAGCTCTTTTGTGTATCTGTGGCACATTTAGACTCTGTCACTGACTATACGTTTTTTTTTTTCACAGTCTGTGATAGTGAAGAGCGTGGAAAGAAATGCTGGGAGTATGTATGAGGTGCGCAAGATCCTGTTGGGGCTGGAGTCCAGCAGTGCGCCCTCTTCTTTCAACCATGTCACTGTTAACGGACATGCTCCTGCCTCCCCTCCCCTGATTGGCTCCATTGGACTGGACACGTTAGCTTCAGCTGAACTGAGGCTGAGAACTCTGGGTAATGTAGTTTGTGTGTGTGTATAATAAAAATATATATATATGACTTAACCACAGTGTAAGGTACATTTATGATCTAAAAGTAATTTCTTGAATGTGTATTCTAAGCAAGGCCTTTTTGTATTAATACAACATTCCTGCTTTAGCTTTGCAGTCACTATAATTACTACTGTCTGTGTTCGCAGATTACAACTTACGCTGCCAGACAGCTCCATATTTAGCTACAGCTGTGTGTATGTGTGTGTGTGTGTGTGTGTGTGTGTGTGTGTGTTTGCTTGTGGTCCACATTCACTCACACACTATTTGTGACTTAAAACAGTCCCCTCTGTTGTTCTCAAGACGCGGACTTAGTTGTGCATGTTTAGAGGAAGTTACATTTAGGATCAGTATGATAATAGTAATTAAGTTAACAATCATGCTGGTAACAATAGCTTTGTTTCAAAACCTAGCAAGCTGTCCTACCTTGATAACTTTTATAACATGGTAGGTTAAACTATGTTGTCTTGTAATTTATCTCTTTTTGACCAAATCAAGGCAGTAATTTATGGATAAGACAATGTCAGAATATATATTACAACAAAAATAGTCAAAGATTATTTAACAAGTCAAATAATAATATAATTAATTTATTTATTCATTATAAATAAAGAATACATTTATTTGTTTGTTTTATAATTTAAAATGTACTATTTCACCCAACATTTATCTGTGTTTTTATCAAATTATTAGCTTAGCAACATGCTAATGTTTGAGGATTGTTTATAAAATCAGTAATAAAATCGGATGACAAAGTGTTGTGAATTTAGATTCTTTAGTCATGGTAAAAGCTTTTTTTCAGGCAGGTCCTACTAGTATGCTAATGATCTATTGCTGTCTCCTGAAATTTCTTGTGCTGTCCCTCAGTTGAACGTTGCTTTGGAGCTAAATAAATAAATGAATAATAATGTAAATGTATACAATGTATGTACTAAAAATTGTGATTGCCAATACTTTTGATATCAACTTTTCACTCTTTCTTTTGTCTCTATTTCTTCAGCTGGTATTTTAAGGTCTGTCAGTCCCATTTCTAATGGTTCCCCAAACCCAAACTGTGTTCTTAATGGACACGGCTCTGTGTTGAACCTTCAAAAAGGAGCAGTGAACAACACGCAACACATTCATACATCTGCTCACACCCACTCACACACATCTGCTCACACATATTCACATGCTCCGGGTCACACTGCTTCACTATGGGCCAGTGCGCTTAGTTCAACAACTAACACATCAGGTGAGTGCAGACTCTTGTAAACCTCATAGATTATTTATGATTACTATTTAACCCTCCCTCACTGTCTCTTGCTCAGGGTTTTCCACAGACCTGATGTTGCAGTCAGTGTCTCAGACGACTCTCAGTGGTCTTCTGCTCTCTGGGGTCCAGAGTCAAGCACACGCTCACACACCGTCCCCTCCACCTGGACTCACACCAATACACAAACCACCCAATGCAGAGCATCTCAATGGACATGTAAGGAACTTCTCTTAATTAGAGTTACTATGTGTGCATCTGTTTTGTTTTTAAACTCACTATGGTTCTTGTGTATGTTTTTGCTGGATGCTTTGTTGCAGCTCGCAAATTCTGTGTATAGCCGAATCTCCTCTGTAGCACTGAACCCTACCCATTGTGACACAGCCCAGGAAGTCATTGGACACACTCAATCAGAATCCATTTCCAATAAATCTACAGATGAAGGTACGGATTAGAACACGATCTATCGACGATCTGTCTGTCTGCCTATCTACGTGTCTGTCTACGTGTATCTATCTATATGTCTGTCTGTCTGTCTATCTATGTGTCTCTATCTATCTGTCATAGCATTATTTGGACCCTTGGTTCACTGTGTACAGTATTGATTCATTATAATATTCATAGACATAATATTCGTCACATAATATGTGTAGGCTCAGATACTTTTGTCGAAGTGGGCATGCCAAGAAGTCCGTCTCACTCAGCCAATAGCAGTGATCTGAAGCAGATGCTGGCCTCGGTGTCGTCAGGGAAACGGCATACGATGGAACTTCTGCAGAGAACCAAGAACTCACTTCTCCAGTATGTTCAGTCATAAAATGACCTTGCATTGTCATGACATTTCTGTTTATATAAAAAGTTTATCGAACAAGGTTACACTGCAGCTCTGTTGTTCAGCTTAAATTTTGTTTGCATGTGCAGTGTTGAGTGTGTGTTGGCCGATTCTGATTGTGAGAATCCAGTGGCTGATAAAAGGGCACCAGGAAGTGAGAGAGCTGCAGAAAGGCGACTAGGACCACATATGCAGGTTTATATATACACACACACACACACACAAACACACTATACTCATATACAAGTGTACAAAAATGTAAAATATTTACACGTTCCTTTTGTTTGAATGTTTTTCAGGCTTATGACTATGAGAAAAAGAAGCTACTGGCCACTAAAGGTGAACAAAGACTTGATCTCTTAAAGGGACAGTGTGTAGTTTTTAATGTAATTTATTTAAAATCAATATTTTTATTCATAAATATATCCTCAATGGTGTACAAATACCTCTGCCAATTATCTGACTTATCCTCGTAAACGAAGAATTTATTATCTTTAAATACATGAGATGGGTAGGTCCACGGAGGCTTCCATGTAGTTCCGCCATCTTGAAAATCTATAATAGCAGACAGGGACAAAAAATAGTAGGCCAACGCGTTTTCGTTCAGAGCCAGCGTGACGTAACTGAAAGCAGCAGAAGTGGAGGAGCAGAGCAGTGAGAGGCGCTTCACTGCCCCAACAAATTTAAAAGGCTGATTGCAAATCTTCGTCTCCAAAATAGATCGTAAAAGGAAACGTGACCGGAGATTACAAAAAACACGAGTTAATGTCGGGATAGCTTTTTCCAGGTGGATATAGCTAATGCAGGAGAAAGAGTTCAAAGGAGATGCTGAAGTTGCCTGCTTTTTCTTGACAGGTAAGTCAATGTTACAGTCTTAATTACAAGCTTTTTTGGTTGTGTACTTTATTTTATAGACGACAGATGAACATATATAGTTAAAAATTGATGATGATATCTAACAATGCACGTACTTCAGAAAATATATCGAATAAAGAAGGCATAACTCCTTATTACAATAATTCATGTTTTTCACATGTTTTCGTTTGTTCGTTGTGTCAAGTTGCTGTTTGTTTGAAATAACAAACCTGCTCACCCGAAGGAACACTCGACGAAGTGCTATTAGAAGACATCCTGTCATAGATTTTTGGTACATAATGGCAACCGTAGATGCAACACGCATTTGAAAAAGCGAGGCGCTGGAGAGCACAGTTTGTTTGAATGCAAAATACATTTTCACCGCTAGAGGGGAGAAATTCCTACACATTGTCCCTTTAATTTAACATCTTAATGTGAAAATGTACACAAATAATATCTGAATATCAGATCACTGGTTAGGTTGTTGATAAACAGTTGTGTTGTTTTGTATAGCCATGCTGAAGAAGCCTGTTGTGACAGAGATTCGAACACCCACAGATACCTGGAGTGGATTGGGCTTCTCTAAATCAATGCCAGCTGAGGGCCTGAAAGAGCTACGCAGGGCACACCATGTGCCATATAAACCCAGCATGAGCACAACGTATGAGGTACAAACTCACCGGTGCACAGTCACATGCAGCCGCAATTCAGTTCAGCTTAAATGAAGTGAATAAATGAAAGATCTCTTCAAAATTTATTTAAATAAATATTTAATTTCAAAGTTGCTTTTTTGTGTATTTTCCAGGACCCGCATCTCTCTGTGTCACTGTCTGGGAGCCAGGAGGGTTTGGGGAATGACACCAAATCCGATAATTGGGGGGATTTGAATGGGAATGTTAACGTCAGTGGGAACGGACTGTCAGGAAATTCTGAATTTTCCCCTGCTATCAGCAGCCCTAAGAGAATGAAGAACAAATCTTGTAAGACTAAAGATTTTGTACTCATTAAGCTTTCTTCTAAACTTTACTGCCTACTCACTTGTTCTGTCTTTCTCTTTATCTGTGTGTTTGGGTCAGTAGGTGAGCAGTATCTCAGCAGCAGTAATTATATGGACAGTATCTCTATGTCTGGCAGTAATGGCTGCTCTCTCAAAGGAACAGATCTCCCAGAGCTCTTCAGCAAACTCGGTCTCGGAAAATATACAGACATCTTCCAACAGCAGGAGGTTATTTTAGATTTGCATGTACAAAAGCAAAAATACCAATGTTTGCAATGCAAAAAAATTATAATTTGTGTTTGCATCATTACTCAAACTATATTAATATGTTTTAGTCAAAAACATATATTTAAGTGTAAATTATTCTTTGTGTTTATTTAGTGAAACCGTGTAGAAAAGTTGCCTTGATTATTTATCTTTATTAATCTAATTGGAAATAAAAGTTCTCTTTGCATGCAAAAATAATGAACAAATGTGGATTAGTGGATATAGACTCTACATTTTGTAAATGCACTTTTATAAGTGTATGTCTCTGTGTTGTTGTCTGATAGATTGATCTGCAAACATTTGTTACATTAACGGATCCCGATCTGAAGGAACTGGGAATCACAACATTTGGTGCTCGCAGGAAAATGATACTGGCGATCTCAGGTCAGTCAGCTTAGTGTTTGTGTCTAAGCTACAGATCAAAAGGGGGAAAAATGATAAACCAAGATAAATGAATAAAAATAAACTGTCTGAGAGACGCGCACAAATGAAGCCTCTCTCATAGTGCGCGCGAGTCATGAACTGAGTCGGTAAAAATGCCTTTGCAAGTATCAAAGGTTGTGGAAAGAATAGGATGACACAACAGACTTGTTTACCACAATAACCTGATTAAAAGGGTTTTTTTTTTCTTACGGACAGTTTATCTGCTGTCTTAATGCCTCCCTGTAGCAGAACTATAGCATTATTTGGATTATACAAAATTATCTTTAAAATACAGTATCCTGAAAAAGGATCTTTTTCTCTTTTTTTTTGGAGATTTTATATATATATATATATATATATATGCGTGTGTGTGTGTATGTATGTATGCATATATGATTTGTGTTGTACTTGTATGTATGTATGTACATCATAGATTTATATGAAATTGGAACACTATTTAGTATCTTTGCTCCAAACATAGTTAGCTACCTTTTAAAGTAATAAATAAACCTTTAAACGGGACCTAGGTTCATAATCATTATGCGAAATCCACTTTTACATGGTGTTCATACAGTGTGCATACACAATTACCCTATAATGGTGAAAATCCACCCACTCTTGTTTTAATCCCCAAGAAGTGTCTCAGAATTGTAGCTTTTTTGACATCACTAATGCTTAGGTCCCGCCCTGACAGACTCCGCCCTATTAGCATAGACCCCACCCTAAGTGAGCTGTACAGTTTGTTTATCTCCTCGCCAGAAGATTTAACAGCAGCATTCAAGTAAATGTATTCTCATTAAAGCTACTAAAGCTAATTAAAAATAGCAGTGAGGGATTTTCGTTTGTTGTTTGATTCACATTAACAGCATATAACCGTAGGTACTGTATTACACTGCTTTCACTTTAATGCATTCAAAAATGATGACATGATGTAATAAACGATCTGTGGGATATTTTGAGCTGACACTTCACATTCTGAGGACACCTGAGACTTACGTATATTACCTATATTATCTTAGGTCCCCTTAAACAGAAAGTCAATCATTTACTTCTTGGTGTAATGTGTGTTAGTGACTGTCCTAGTGTAGCTACCTAATGTGTTTTGTTTGTGTTTACTTGATGGATTACTGATCATATTTGAATGTCTCCTCAGATCTGAATAAGAGCAGGAGGAAGCTTTTTGACATGCCCAACATTCGTTCGTCTTTCTTAGAAGGCGGGGCCAGCGGTCGCCTGTCGCGCCAGTACCACTCAGACATGGCAAGTGTCAGTGGTCGCTGGTGATGTCTTACCTGCAGGATTCTGGACCACAAACCACTTCATACTGGACTCTGGTTGATATAGAAAGCCAAAAAGTGATGCAGATTCTTGCAGATCTAAAAACAAATGTGTTGGGATGCCAATAAGGTTGTGCCTAAAAATATATGAAGGGAATTTATTCAATATTGTTAAGAGAATGTTCCACTAATATGGTCTTGCATTTACTCTGGGAGAACAGGGAGAGCACAGAGTTTAAAACTAACCATACTGTCAGCAAGAGCGCTTCGGTATTGGTGTCTAGCACTTTAATCTGTAAACTCTGCTGTTTTTGCTGGTAACGTCAGACTGTCCAGTGTCAAAGCCAAACATGTGCACTTATTTAGCAGGTAATTCCAGATCACACACAAAGATCACCACAACCAGCTGATGCTTATGTTGTTTACCAGACTGTTGTATTCATGTTCAGTGTTTAATTATACATTGGTTATTGTGGTATTGTTGTATTTTAATACATTTTGTTTTATAGTTTTCATATTTTATGTTAATCTTTTTAAAAGGCATTATCGTTTAACTTTTTTTTTATTTTGACTGTTTGTTGTTTTGTCTGATTAATCAGAACGCCTCATAGTCATCTCAAACAGATGTCAGTCATCATTTTGGTGTAAATGAAGTCTCTGGTTTTCTGTCGAAGAGCAGAATGCCGTAAAATGTTTTGGAATATCATTATTTGCATGTACTTGTTGCACAAACATCAAATTTAAGCTGCATTCGGTACTTGTGAAGTTGTTTGCATGTATAATGGAATTAGTTTTCTTTGTATGTGCAAAACATATGTCTATCTGGCAGGTGTTTTGTTAGGGTTGTGTGTGTGCGCGTGCGTGTGTGTGCGCTTGTCCTTTAGCTCAAACAAAGCCATAAATAAAACTCAAGGGTTACTGGGTTACTTACTAAATATTTTTTTCATTTTGTCAAAGTTTTTGTTTTGTTTATTTTCAGCCAGATTGTATATATCAATAGAAGTATTCACAGTAAATCAATGTTACCCAATTTTTTTTTCTCTTTGTTTAAATTTATATGAGGCCTGTAGTGCATTTACGGTACAGCCTGCAAAGATGAATGTATAACGCGTAGAAAGAGCTTTTTGAAATCATCATCTGTTGTGAAATACTTTATTAGAAACCATGCTAATCTGTTTTATATGCTTTAATTTTTGTTTTATGACAGGAAAATAATGACAGTCTCTAAAATATTGCACAAACCACTTGTGGTACTTGTCTTGTTATATTATTAATTGCTTGATTCTAGATCCAAAGTGAAAATCTCATGAGATTTATATGCAAAATATGTCTGCATATGACTTGTAGAGGTTAAATGTATACCGTAGTGGAACCAGTGTATATGGTTACTGAGCAGGGTTAGTGATTTGTTTTTATTTTTTGCATCTGACAAATCATGTGTTCATTCAGTTATTTTCCGCTTGTCATCTGAAACAACTTCACTGTTTTAACAGTGCCATACATTTTTTTTTATATATATTATTTTTATTTTTTCTGGGAGAACAACTGTGTTGTTCTGTTTATTTGGTTGTGCTACCTTCCTCCTGGAGTGGAGCATAATAGGAGTAATGTTTTTATTTTGTTTTGTTTAAGTCTTTGACAAAGGGAACCATGTTCATGTTTGTGCCTTATACGAATGTTCTATAAATCCAAATCAGTGTCTCCTAAAGTGTTGCCAGAGTTTTTCCTCTCTGGAAGTAACAGGGGGAAAAGGATTTAAAACAAAAGCGAAAGAACAAAAAATATATTTTTTGAAATGTTCTTTGTGGTTTTGTTCTAGAAAATAAAAATGTTTGCAAGCCAAATCAAGTTTGCTTTTTATTTTTGTTATAATTTTTTATTAGTTCATTGATTTAGGTATGCAATCAATCACATGAAAGAGAGGGAGTGTGTGAAAGAGGAAGAGAAATGTGTAGCTATTGTCTGTTGAATGCAAATTAAATGACAGTAACTGGCTAAGTTGAGAGGGTTGATGACATTAGCTCTTTTGAAAGTATGAGCAAAGGGATGGGTAATTATGTGTGTTTTTAATGCTGTTTGCATATTAATGTACATCTGCCTGTATAAATGCTGCTGGAACCATTTGTGAATAAGAGAGGGAACAGGGATTGTGAAGCTGTCAGCATGCTACAATAAAACGGTGCGTAATTAACAAGCAACAAAGCTTTGAACCTCAAGGCTTTATTTTAAAACTAGCTAATTTAATGTCATGGGACACCAACCACCCTGAGCTAGACAGAAAGAAGAACTGATGCATGAAAGGGGAAAACAGCTCTGCTATATTGTGTTGGTGTCTATTTTTAGTGTAGAATTGAAGAATTGAAACAACATACAGCCTCCTAACTTAACACAAACCAATGGTAGCAAACGTGAGTGTGCATTTATGTAATCCTGTTAATTGACATCTTTTTGGTCAAGATATTTTGATTTGTAATGTACACAGCAGAGGGCGCCATTTGCTTTATGCAAGCCTACTGCACTTGCTTGAATGTCCATCAACAAGAGATGTGCTATTCCATTTGTTAAAGTTTGGAGGAAAAACTTCATAATTTATTAGGTTATATGTATCTAAATCTGATTCCATGCAAAAGACTAATCACGGCTTTAATTTATTGCCTGCTGCAGGACTATAATAGGCAACGCATTTAACATTAATGCTCTGATTAATTTTGTTGAATCAATGTGTGAATAATCTGAATAGAGTGAAGCTAGTTTCAATTTTGAATGACTCGGTGCGTTTTCAAAAGATTCGAGTCACTGGCATGAATCGATATCCCCACCCTGTTCATGCAGGGGCCGATTCGGTACCAAATAAGGACATGAGCTCGAGCGCTTGGAGTGACGTCAGTGAGATGGATGGATGGAGGAATAAGGAGTCTTTTCGCTCAGAGGTGGGAGCAAATGTGTAGCGGGTATAGAGTGTGCTGAGATTGTGAAATAACGGTAGGCTAGTGTAGAATATAATTTCGTTACATAACCCTTCATTGAATGCGCCGTCACTCAGTTCATTCGCGTATAGCCTATCCGTTGCTCCACACAATATTCCAGTTTTCCGAAAACACTTGTGGCTTTCGTCAGATCGAAAGATACATTCTATTTCTCGAGATGATGAGAACTAAGTTCATTTTATCGAGTCACTAGAAGGAAATAGCATATGCTTCTGTCCTTGCATCTACTGTATGTCCAGTATTGACGACCCGCTGACGCGTTTTCCACCTCAACACCAGAGAAAAGAAACGAGAGAAAGAGAGGGATCAAGGCGATAGAGCACTAGACTCACTCTGTTTGGTTTTCGAGCCAAAGATATAGAATATTTCCACAGAGATCCACAAGCCTCTGCAGACATGGAGGCGGCGAGTTTGGCACACGGGGTCGCGAGCCCGCTCAGCCCGCGTGAGGGAATGATTAAGAACGTGAGCCTGGAGTCGCTCCAGCTGTGCGAAAGAGACGGTAAGAAACCGCTGCAACACACTGCGAGTACCGTTAACTTGACAGTTTTATCTCCGCCGGTTTCCCCCGGTAACACATATTTTTAAAGGGACGTGTTTTGTGTGTGTGTGTGTATGTGTTTGTGTGTCATGTAATGAGCGTTTAAATCACTAATACTGGATTATACATTGATGTAGAAAATCCTGTTTCATCCATGAAAAGCGGAATAGTGAGGCAGGCTGGCTTTGTGTGTGCTGGCTGTGGTATCTCAGAGTGAAATCTCTGCTGTCTGTGAGAGGGTTTCATTTCAGGACCATGGACACTACCCTCTTACGGTCAGCTACCTTTTCACTTTTAATCTCGTTTTACTATCAGCCAGTCAAGCTGAAACCAAGAAACGGGTACTGTAAACACATGTAGAGAAAACAATAATATATCATATATATATATATATATATATATATGAAGTATGTACAAGACCGAAAAAAATACAGTTAAAACCCCTCACCCTCTGCAACATCGGCATTTTAAAACGTTATATAACGTTTTAAAATGCCGATGTTGCAGAGGGTAAGGGGTTTTAACTGTATTTTTTTCGGTCTTGTACATACTTCATACCCAAATAACACATGGACTTAATGGTTTTAGACTTAATGGCTGAGGGTAATGTACTTGCACACACACACTGAACAAGACACACATTAGGCTACGTATGCTAACAGGCTGTGGCTTTCAAAGGTACACTGTCAGAAAAAAAGGTACGAAAGCTGTCACTGGGGCGGTACCTTTTCAAAAAGGTACACTTTTGTACCTAAACGGTGCATATTGGTACCATAATTGTACAAATATGTACCATGAAGGTACCAATATGCATCCTTTAGGTACAAAAGTGTACCTTTTGAAAAGGTATCGCCCCAGTGACACCTTTTTTTCTGAGAGTGTATATGCTTGATGTAAAGGCAGTACAGTATTTGTCTTTCAACAACTGACCCCTGCCTGTAATGTCTCCATCTCATTTTGTTTGTGTGGAATTACAAGCTTATAAATGTAAATCCATTTTAACTGAAGGAAGCGTTAAATGCGTTACAATCATCATGTTTTAATTGTGAGCGTGTGTTTAAAAAAATCCAAAATATGTCAATCATCTTTAAGAATGACTAGGCAACAACCTGCAGAACATTTGGCAGCCTTCAGAAGAATGCAGAGTTTTTCTAAGCCAAGGGCACAATGACTCACCAGGATTTGAGAAGGAGGCACTGTTTTTATCTTCCCTGCATGAATGTATTTGAATCAGCATTAATTAGCCTGAATGGAGTGCTGTGCTGGAAGCAGTGCCTCTTATCTCTTTTGATTTACCACATACATCAGTTTCATTTTAATTGCAACAAACCAAGGGAGTGCATGAAGGTACTCACTTTTTAGGAACTAACTGAACTCTATAATTGGTTAACATGAGTGAGATTCTCAGACATGAAGGAATAGATTCCCTTTAAACATCGGCCAACAGATGTCCTTATCAAACTCAGCTGCATCTGATCTTAAACAACCTTATTTAAGATCTTTACAAGACAATGTTTTGCAAAAATTATGCTATAAAAGAAGATTTTTGCTGACACATGCATTAAGATGATGTTTGAAACTGCTAGTGCTGGCCAATTCTAACCCATCACCTGAGTGCTTGGTGTAAATATCTTAATCAGGTTAGCTAGAAACCTGAACCTGTTCCATGCAGGACTTTGGACACCAGGACACCCTTGGGAATTCCTAATAGCAGCTTGTAACACAAGAACAAATATATTTAGAAAAATTACATAAAGATTAAGACAGTAAAGTGAGCCTATCTAGTAAGTAATTCGATCTGGATTTGTAATGAAACAGTTGTAGATTTGATCCCAGTTATTGGTGACTGAACTTTAATTTTGTTTTGTTTTTTTACCATTGTGCCCAATGAAAATGAGTATACATGATGCATTAATGAGGCCTAGACTTTGATGAATGCAATGAAATTAAGAGAGGATTAACAAACATTAAACTCTCTGAACAAAACACTTTAAAAGGAAAGGAAATACCAAAATACATTTGTTTTTAACTGATTTGGAATTACAGACATACAAGCTTAATTAATAGGGAGACTGCTTGTGAAATCATCTCTAATCAAATGTAAAGAATTCAATCTGTTTGATTACGTGCTGTAATTATGATATGTTGCTTGAGTTCATTTTCCCCACCCTAGAGAAGCCGTGGGCTCATAAACTAGAAAACCTCAGCGCTCGTTGTGAGCTCTGCAGCTCATCTCAGCAAAAGTTAATTGCAAAGTAAATGTGTTGTCTTTATTGCTGGCAGAGATAAACAGAATATGTTCTGTGCAGATTTTCCCACACAACATTTTTTTTTTTTTACTCTTGCTAGATAAATAAAACAGCATGCCATACACCATCCTTAATCGTTGACCACCAGGCTTTTGCGTGAATCGTTGGAATGGTTTGCTTTGTATATAATAATATTATCATCCTTTCAAGTTAAATTTACAGTTATTTTGTGTAGATAGGCTAAATATTTTTAATAATCACTAACTAGGCTAGTTCATATTAGTTAGATGGGAGGTTCTGTCATTCTTGCTGGTCCAGCTTATCAGATACTCAACTGGCCAGAACAACACTTCAACAACACATCATGTTCGGCCAGTTTGGGCGGCCAATACCCTGTCACTGGTTTGAGGTTTGTCCCTCCTCATGCCACTGTTAGTACATTCTCACCACTGCTAACTGGGAGCAACCCACAAGCATTGCCGTTTCAGAGATACTCTGACCCAGTTGCCTTGCCATAACCATTTGGCCCTTGTCAAGATCACTCAGATCTTTATTCCTGCCTATTTGTCCTACATCCAACACGTCAATTATGTGACCTGATCATTTGCTTACTATCCAATCTACCCAGACCTATATATGAAGAGTTCAGATGCAAAAGCCTCTAAATGCCATTTGAAATTTTCTTCTTTAATGATGATCAAACTTGTATATTTAAGTTCAGTAATTTCACTTAAATAACAATTAATAGGTAATTATCATTGCCATTTAAGTGATATCACTGAACTTAAATATACAAGCTTGATAAAAATTATCATTCTAAAAGAAAATTTCAAATGGCACTCAGAGGCTTTTGCATCTGAACTCTTCATATGTATAAGCATGAGCTTGTTGTACTGCAATTGACAAATCTGCGTATTAATGTTTGTGTGTATTAATATGCAGTTCAACTTGCATTTTGGAGTGGGTCCAGAGTTCATTCAACAAACTCTAAACACTGATAAGCATTCTGCCATAGTACAGAGATGTTTGCAGCTTGAAGCTGTGATCTCACTCTGCATTGAAGCTCATACAAGCCTTGTTTTCATTCACAAAGACACACTACTCTTTTGTAGTCACATGTGGCAGTGCTGTTTTCTCGCATTAAAGGGTTAGTTCACCCAAAAATGAAAATTCTGTCATTAATTACTCACACTCATGTCGTTCCAAACCCGTAAGACCTCCGTTCATCTGCATAATACAAATTAAAATACTTTTGATGAAATCCAAGAGCTTTCTAACCCCAAATAGATTCTGTTCACGTTATAAACACAGTGCAGTGCTTCCAGGTTGTACGTCAGAACGCCGGCTCAGTATTGGCTACACGTATCCGTCATGGTCCTCACGTAAACTGCATCAGTCTGACACGGAAGAGAAGAAATTGTTAAATAAAGTCCTTATTTTTGTTTTGTTTCTTGCGCGCAAAAAACATTCTCGTCGCTTCATAATATTAAGGTTGAACCACTGTAGTCACATCATGGACTATTTTAATGATGTCTTACTACCTTTCTGGGCCTTGAAAGTGGTAATAACATTTGTTATATTATATTACATATCATTTGTTTTCTGAAGGTGAACCTACTGTATATGTATGTGATATGTAATGTGTCTTAGGGGTTTAGAACGACATGAAGGTGCAATTAATGACATTCTCCTTTATTAAGACCCTTTAAAAGGGTTAGTTCACCCAAAAATGAAAATGATGTCATTAATGACTCACCCTCATGTCGTTCCAAGCCCGTAAGACCTTCGTTCATCTTCGGAACATAGTTTAAGATATTTTTGATTTAGTCCGAGCGCTTTCTGTCCCTCCATTGAAAATGCATGTACGGTATACTGTCCTTGTCCAGAAAGTCAACAAAGACATCATCAAAGTAGTCCATGTGATATCAGTGGGTTAGTTAGAAGTTTTGAAGCATCGAAAATACATTTTGGTCCAAAAATAACAAAAACTACGACTTTATTAAACATTGTATTGTCTTCCGGTTCTCTTCTGGTTGCAGAAAGAACCGGAAGACAATTCAATGTTTAAGACGGAAGATCTGTAAGCTTTTTGGGGCAAGGATCTGATATCTTTCTAAAAGAAAACTAAAATCTTTCTATTTCAATGATATATGTCTATTTATTTATATAACTGCAAGAACCTATGACAATAATTTCTCTCCCAGCATCACGGTTCAGTCTCTTTTCCCGATCTGACTTTTGTTTAAGATCTTACACCTGCGATCATGTGTATGTAAAGCTTCTGCCCATCTTCCTCTTTATAATTTATAATACATTGATTAATGGCCTTGATTTGTTTCCATGGAAACTGCAGTCTTTGTTAAAGCATGTTGAAAGACCTGTGGGTGTGTTTCGAAGCTGGCACTCTAGAGAGATGTATTCTGCTGGTCCTATACTTGCTTTTAGGTACAAACAATTAAAGTATTAAAAGTATTAAATAAATAGTATGTAAATAAAAGTATTAACCACTGTTTGACTAGCTTCAAAAAGATTACGTTAACATGCGTTAAAAATGCTGTTAGTCTGTTTATGCTGAACTTATGGTACATCGAACCAGTTTCTTAAAGCATGAAGGAAAGCAAATTCTGCAGTGGGAAGATGTCTGATGAACACACACGTGCTGTTTGTGTTGGCAGAGGCAAGGATTGGAGTGAGTAGTGTTAGTGCAGGAACATATAACAGAGGTGAATGTTGTGAGTGCCAGTATTTTCAAGACTTTACACTGTTTTATTTGTGCATTTGTCTTCTTGCAAGACACTTTCTTTATTTTCCAAAACTTCTATTTCTATAAAAACTTCTGCTCATGACTTCTATGGAAAACTTATGGAACACTCTACCCTCTTTACATCTTCTTTACATCTTCTATTAAACTTATTTGTTAAGGTTCCTTTTATGTGATAATATTGTTATTATTCTGAAAATGAATTTAATTGCTTGATTTCACTCTGTAATTTTTTATTTTTTTCTTCTTCTAAACCGCTTTGAGATGCAAATTTTATTTAACCTGACTTTTATGACTCTCTTTTCTTTGATTGCAACTTATCTCACAAATGTCCTTTTTATCTCACAATGTGACTTCAAATCTTGGCTTTATTTCTCACAATTTTGAACTATTTTCGTAATGGCAAATTTATATCTTACAATGTGACTATTTCTCACAACTTTGAATTACTTATTTTAGATTTCATCTCAGAATTACCTTTTCAATTTTTTTTTCTCAAAGACAGGCTTTCGTATATGATTTACTGTGGTAAATAAAACAGAAGAGTGCTGTGGTCATTTTCATAACAGAAGTGCATGACATAAATACTACCATTCAAAAGTTTGAGGTCGGTAAGAATTTCTTAATATTTTTTTAAGAATCTCTTATGCTCACCACGCTGTATTTATTTGATTAAAATAAACAGTAAAAGCAGCAATATTGTGAAATATTATTTAAAAAAATAGAATTTTAAGCAGCCATGACTTGAGTCTTCAGTGTCACGTGATCCTTCAGAAATAATTATATGTTGATTTTGATGCTCAAGAAACATTTATTATTAATAATAATGTTTAAAAAAATCAGTTGATACACTTTTTTTTAAAGTTAGCGTTCACTAATTAATTTAATGAAAGAGCATCTGCCTATGAATCGTGCAATAAACAGGATCATTTGTGATGATTATACTCTTTAAAATCCTTTTAGAGTAATTTCTTTCTACAGGAATATGTCAGCAGTAGTAATGAAATCAGTTTAGAAGAGAAAGGTTTCAGCGTTAACAAACTGAGGGTGCTTATTGTACAGTGAGGCTTTGTCATGAAGCTTTATTAATTTTCACTGTGCTTTGTTTAGTGTGTGTGTGTGTGTGTCATTGTGGAATTCCACATGCCTGTTGTGCATCTCTGGACTCTACGATAAGACAGTGCCCACACTGTAGCCATGCCAATGCAACACAGCACATTTCTCACTGTGTGTGTGATTGTGTTTGTGGGTTGAAGGGTAGCCATGCGTAACAGTATTTTTGTGTTTATAGAGAAACACTATAAATATTTGATTTCAGACAATATGCTTTCTTTCTGTCAGGTAAAGCTGAAGACACTGGAGTGGTAGGAATGGAGGAGTTACCTGTTGCTCGCAACATCAAGATTAGTAACATCACCTGTGACTCCTTTAAGATCTGCTGGGATATGGATCCCCACACCAAAGAGAAGATCACACATTACTTTATTGACCTTAACAAGAAGGAGAACAAGAACTCTAACAAATTCAAACACAAGGTACTCAGTGATTCAGTTCACAACAACACAAAATATTTACATTCATTAACATTTCTCAACAGAACCTAGTTTGAGTATGTGAGTGTTAACTTTATTCAGCTTTATTCATGAGAGGGTTTTAGTATCAATTGGTGCTGTTGTTCATCATAACTAAAACATATAAAATGAGCGAAATACTACTAAATATTAAATTCTTTCCTCTCTGTCTTTAGGATGTGCCTACAAAGCTTGTTGCTAAGGCAGTCCTATTGCCCATGACAGTGCGAGGCCATTGGTTCCTGAGTCCACGGACAGAATACACTGTTGCCGTGCAAACAGCTTCCAAACAGACCGACGGAGACTATGCCGTATCAGAATGGAGTGACATTGTCGAGTTTTGTACAGCAGGTTATTCAGCCAAGCACACACTTATACAAAAAACTATGTAATAGTTTAAGAAAGGACACCCTATTGAATTCTATGTTTTTATGTATCAGGACATAATAAAAAAAATCATCTGGTCCTTAGGTCTTAAAATTAGGTAAATACAACCTCAAATGAACAACAACACATGACATCATTATTATTTTTTTTTTAACAAAAACTACTTGGCCACAGTTTGGGAACCCATATGTGACAAACTTAGTACACCCTTATTGCTTCCTTAGGAATTCAGAATCACTCACACAGATGCAATTGTAAAGTTGCATCTGAACGAACCACAAGACTTCTGGAACAATGTCCTTTGGACAAATGAGACCAAAGTGAAGATGCTTGGCCACAATGCACAGCATCAAGTTTGGTGAAAACCAGCATATCAGCACAAACGCCTCATACCAACTGTCATCATGTTGATGGAGGGGTGATGAAAAGAAAGAGTAAAGAAGAGTGGGGAAGAGTGGGAGAAGAGTGGGAACAAATTGCTCCAGAACAATGTGAGAGATTTATAATTGTGTAAGACAATATGTTGTGTTGTTGTTCATCTTAGGTTATAATTACTTTTAAAACCTGCTAAAGACCAATGACTTGTACAAGTATGTCCTGATAGAATTCAAAAGGGTGTCCTTTCTTTTTTTACATGGTACACAATGGTAATTCAAATAATTCAAATGCGATATATTGACAATGAGACAAAGTATAAAAATGAAATGAAAACCTAACACCAAAATAACTTACTATAAGAGATAGAAAAATGAGAAAACAAAATGTTATGCTAGCTACTGCTCAGCTTTTTAGGTAGATAACATTGATCAAATTGAAAAGCTTGTGGAAATTGATGACACAAAAATATTTCCCTTAATTTTTCCAGATTATTCCTCTGTGCATTTGACGCAGCTGTTGCAGAAGGCTGAAGTCATTGCTGGCAGGATGCTCAAGTTCTCTGTCTTTTACCGGAATCAGCATGAGGAATACTTCCAGCACTGCAGGTGATTTAGGAAAAAGTACCTCAGTAAAAAAATTTGGGGTATGAGTGAGGGAGAGGAAAGAGGTGAAGTAATGCTGTGGATGACGACAATGACAATCTTTCTTCGCTGTTGAGATTCAGCTTGTCATTAGGAAGCAAACGGCTCCCTCTTGTGGAATAATATCCTCATAATTGTTTATGTTCAGGTTTTTGTGAACCACATTTTTTAATTCACTTACACCATTAACATTTTTGCAGTCAGAAATTGATTAAAAGTGACAGACATTTTCAACGTTACAAAAGATTTCTATTTCAAATAAATACTGTTCTTTTGAACTTTCTTATTCATCAAAAAAAGTCATGAAAAACACAGTTACCACAAAAATATTAAGCCTCAGAACATTGATAATTAAAAATGTTTCTTGAGCACCAATTAACATTTCACATTTCACTGCTTTTACTTGGTGAGCAAGAAATTGATAATTGTCTCTCTTTCCCTCAGAGATGTTCTTGGCAGTCGAATGATGCCGTCAGTAAAGGATAACAGCGGTAGTCATGGTTCACCTCTCAGTGGTAAACTGGAAGGGGTCTTCTTCAGCTGCAACACAGAGTTTAACACAGGTCAGCCCCCACAGGATTCCCCGTACGGCCGCGTCCGCTTCCAGGTGCCTGCCGAGGTTCTGTTCACCCCTGACACGCGCCTCTACTTCGGGGACTTCTACTGCATGTATACTGCCTATCATTACGTAATCCTTGTCCTGGCTCCTCGGGGCTCGAGCGGAGACCTTTACTGCAGCGATCGCCTTCCAGAGCTGGATGTGACCAACAACCGCTTTCTGACACGTGTGTGCGGGGAGGATGGGCAGGTGGTGTTTCAGCACGCGCAGGATGTGATTCTGGAGCTGATTTATACTGAGCCGGTGCCGCTGGCTCAAGGGACTGTCTCTCAGATCAGCGGCCACCAGTTGATGAGCTTGTCAACCATCAACGCTAAGAAAGACCCCAGCTGCAAGACCTGCAACATCAGTGTTGGCCGCTAACTCACACACAGACCCAACTGTACATCTGAAGCCCTCCTGAACAACTGAACAAATCAGACCCATCAAAATGGTATGTTACAGAACCAGATACAGAAGAACCCCAAGAAAAATGGCCCCCACAATCCTCCATATGCAGTATGTATGCCCATGTGGCGCTCAAACCCCTTGGGCTTCCCAGAAACCAAGCTTATGCTAGACAATTCTGTGCTTGATTAACTGAGCATTCTAAAATAATAGAAATAAATCAAAAATACATTATTGTACAGCAGAAGAAGAAAAAAACAGAAAACAGAGTATGACAAAAAACAGATTCAAGGCAAAAAAAAAAAAAAAGATGGCATATCAAGACTAAAAATTAAAAAAGAGTAAAAGCTACTTTTCCAAAAACTTGAACCCCACTGTGAATCTTTCATATGTGTTCTTGGTGCTTTTTCTGCTCGATAATTAGACCCCTGTTTATCCTCAAACCATTTGTGACCTTTTTTTAAAAACACAAAGATGTCTTGCCCAGTTTCCACGGAGGCCGTCAAACCCCCCTTGTTTCATATGTCAGACTTGTACTGCATGGAGTCTGATTCTTTTTAGCATCTACAGTACATGCCACCTCACCCTTTAAACTTTCTAAAAGGGGATTTTCTTATCTAACACAGATCATTTCCCCTTTGGCCACTTGCATTTCTATGTGCCTCTATTCACCTTTGACATGCGCCTCGGACTTCTACTGCATGTACAGTATACTACCTACAGTAGGCTATTATTACATTATCCAACTGGAGTTATATGCCAACCAGTCGTTTAAGCACCTACATGCCACCTTAGCCTTGAAACCTCTTTTACCCTCAGTCTTTTCATTTTCTACTCTGATCGCAGTTCTCCTTTAACCTTTCTTACTCATTGAACATGGTATTTTGATAATCTTGTTTCATTATGTTTGGTTTTTAGAGAATGTGCGTTGCAGTAGTAATGGTGAATGTTGATTCCTGATAGAACATCAAGAAGTAGAATTGATTTGTCTAAAATATATCCTGAACAAATCCATTGCTATGTCCAGGTTCTTGAGGGTTTGCACTGTCCTATTAGAGGCCCTCTGGTTGTGAAAAAGATCACAGATGCATGCTTAAGATTTTGTGTTGTACTGTATCTGAACTTGTTACTTGTTCCTTAGCTCCAAAAATAGAAGCCAGTCACAACAGACAGCGATGCACAATTTTATTTTCATTTCTGAAAACTCTTAGCTGCCAGTATCCTAAAACCTGTGGCCAACATGTAGCTTTTGCTCAAAACTAAACATTTTATTATAAACAATTCTACACTATATTCGCATACACTACCGTTCAAAAGTTTGGGGTCAAAAAGATTCTTTAAAGGGTTAGTTCACCCAAAACTTTTTTTTCACATGGACTTCTTTGATGATGTCTTTATTTCCTTTCTGGACAAGGACAGTATGTCGTACATACATTTTAAATGGAGGTACAGAAAGGTCTCGGACTAAATCTAAAATATCTTTAACTGTGCTACGAAGATGAACTTACGGGCTTGGAACGACATGAGGGTGAGTCATTAATGATATCATTTTAATTTTTGGGTAAACTACCCCTTTAATGTTTCTGAAAGAAGTCTCTTATGCTCACCAAGGCTACATTTATATGATGTGAAATATTTTTAAATTTGATTTATTAGTGTGTTGGAAAAGCTGAATTTTTAGTATCATTAATCCCGTCTTTAGTGCCCTTCAGAAATCATTCTAATATGCTGATTTGGTGCTCAAGAAACATTTGTCATTATTATCAATGTTGAAAACAGCTGTTTTTTGTGATGCATATTTTTTTCAGGATTCTTTGATGAATAGTATGTTCAAAAGAACAATATTTATTTTATTATTCTTTTCTATCACTTTCATTTTAATGAAAACTTGCTAAATAAAAGTATTAATTGCTTAATATTAATTACTACATCCAAACTTTTGAACAGTAGTGAATGTGTTTTGTGTTTTCTGGGAGTTCTGATTATATGTGTGTTTGGGTGTGTGTGTGTGCATGTTTTGTTAGTGTGTGAAATGATTAGACTTCAGTGTGCTGTGTCAGCTGGAGATGTGAGTGTTTGACTGATAAGCAGCTGCCATTTACTTAGCTCAAGAATTTGTAATACTCTTGTCTTTTGGCAGAGGAAGTCTGTTCTATCTTCTATCTAAGAGGGATGAAAATGAAACAAAAAATGTATTGACTTCACACATTAATAACTTTTTTTTTTTATCAACTTACACCAATCTGACTGTAGAAAACAATAGTTCAACTTTGGACTCATGCAAAGGTCAAGCGACTCATGCACCCAAATCAAGTTCCCGCTGTGTGAATGTGCCTCAAACTGACATGTTCAGTAAATATTTTTGTTTTTCTTGTTGCCATGTTTATGAATACCAAAATGTGACTGTTCAATAAAGATCATCATTCAGCTATATTGAGACTATATTGTGTGTTTATATGTAATGTATACACTTCAATCAATTTTTTGCAGTCATCTGTGCATTTTTATACTTTATAAGCTTTATATACACTATATTGCCAGAAGTTTTGGGACGTCTGGTCTGCCTTTACATGCACATGAACTTTAATGATATCTCATTCTTAATCTGTAGCGTTTAATATGGAGCTGCCCCACCTTTTGCAGCTATAACAGCTTCAGCTCATGCTTTCCACAACGTTTAAGAGTGTGTTAATGGTAACTTGGATTACCATAAACACACTGGAACCATTCCAAAACTGTTCCCACAAAGTTAGGAGCATGAAATTGTCCAAAATGTCTTGGTAAGCTTGGTAAGCGGATTGCCAGACAAAGAAGCATAATTTTACATAATTATGCATAATTCGCATGATTCGACAAGCATAATTCGAGAACACGAGTCCAGTGGTGGCGTGCTTTACACCACGGCATCCGGTGCTTTGCACTGCGCTTGATGCATTTGCTCAGCCATGGAAACCCATTTCATGAAGCTCTCTAGTCCGGACTATTCTTGAGCTAATCTGAACAGGGAACCACAACGACCCTGTTCAACTGCTCGATGGAGGAGTTTCAGACTCACATTCAGACCAGAATATTGCGAAGTCAGGCTAGATGAAACATCGTTACGGCAATTCCTTAATGACAACTTTTAAAGCATTTATTTTAAAGACATTAACCCACAGGGATTCTGGAAGAGTTCCTTAAATTTTGTGGTAGAAATTCACCTTTAAAATGACATATTTTGACATTTACATTCATCATCATATATTGAGTAGCAATAAAGACAGGGAATACTTGCATACAATAAAAAAAAAAAAAAAATGCTTACATAGGCTATTGACCACCACCACTCTGTAACTCCAAGTTTATCTGTGTAACTCCAAGTTTATCTCGTAATCTCTGTAATAATCTATGTAATTGTAATAAATTATTGGTGTTGTGTTTATCTAGCGGTTGTTTTTATGACAACCACCACAGGAGGGAGAGGGGTACTTTGTCTCCACACTGCTAAATGATAGATCAATAATCTTATTTGACCGTAATTTAAGAGAAATCAATAGAAATCTGTGCACTTTATTGGCCCATAGAAATCTAAATGCTGCCCTCTACCGGTCACATAAAATTAAACACGTTTCGTTTTGGCTGCTCACTGAGCCAATGAGTGGAGCTTGAAGTTCAGCCGCGACAAATGCCCCCACCCCCCAACCCCCCAAATGGCCACTACTTGGAGGATCTTGAAAAAAATAAAAAAATAAATAAAAACGTATAAATTATTTCTTTTTATGCTAAAATATAAAGAGACATCATCCATATTTACAATAAAAGTACATTATTGACCATGTATACAAAACGTGTCAGTTCATTGTCTTCAGGACAGTTCACCTCCGATTTCATTTCACACACTGACGCTGGTGGGAGGATTCAACATAAACCGGGGACTCAACTGGACTCCAAAAGCGCACTTTACACCGCACAAAGCCGGGACACTGTTGTGTTGTCTTTACGATGATTTTAGTTAAATTCGTGTGCGCGATCATAACCAGGTCCTTATTCATTCTGGTCTCTCTCATCGGCGTCTGGAGAGTGAAAACGGTGAAAAATGACAACATGTACTGGTTACTGACTGTACTTTACCTTCCTCTGGTCGTGGAGATGTTCGTCACTTTAAAACGAAGGAAAGGGAAAGACTACAAATGGTGAGTGACACCACATTATTATACTCGATTTACAGTGCTGCTGACAGAAGCTGCTTCACGACAGCTGTTGATCATTTTCTGCTGGATGGATTCACACTCTTGGTGCAAATTACTTTTATTCAATATCTGAATGTATGTTACATGGCTTTTATTCTACTTCTTTTGTGCTGTGCTCATGTTTTAGTAACATTTTAAATTCAATTTTCCTAAAAAGTTATCGACATTCCTCACTCCCTCCCTCCCCCTCACCAACATCCTGCTAGACCTATTGTTAATGCTGACTGAGTAAAGGATGTAAGACACCATGACTCTAGTATAATCAGAGTGGTCTCCAGCAATGATAAGGGTTAGTTCCCACAAAAATAAAAATTCTGTCATTAATTACTCACCCTCATGTCCAGATATGAGATGAAATGGGGGTGGGGGGAAATAATTCTTCAGTCTCACTTGTCTGTTGATATCATTTTAATATCATGCATTTAAGGCAATTGTTAGGGTGTTAGTTGTTGTTGTGTTTGTGTTCTAAAAATGAATGAAAGTCTTAAACTTAAACGAAAGTTTGGAATGGCATGAGGGTAAGTAATTATTGAAAGAATTTTAATTTTGTGGAGAACTATCCATTTAATCATAATCCGCTTGAAAGAAACAATTGCAATAAGATAATGTCATCCCAGTTAAGTGTAGGCCTATTTATGTATGTTCTGTAAAAATTATGCAACCCATCTTCTGTCATCTTTCAGGTTTTCTCCAGCCATTCTATTGTTCCTCATCAGCATTATTCCATCCATATGGATTCTAGAGTTACATCATCAGGAAAACAAAGCTAATGACCCTCAGGTATTATTCCATACACATTCTTTCAGTGGAATTTTGACGTGTTTTCCTCTTATCGATCCAAACTTATGACTTTCTTTATGTGGAAATATGTGTATTGTTTTTGTTTGTTTTTTAGTAAACCCTTAACATGTGTACTAACCAAAACACTATTTTATTCACATTCTTATTCTGACTCTTATTTTTGTGTGAGGACAAAATGATGACAGGAAAATTCTGTTCCAAACCTGCATGACTTGCTTTCTTCAGCTAAACACAAAAGAAGATATTTTTGAAGAATGTTGATAAGTTTCGGTTCCCATATACTTCCACTTTATTTTTTCGGTCATATTTCAATGGGAACCAAAAACTCTTTGGTTTTCAGCATTCTTCAAAATAGCTTTTTTTCCCCCTTTTTTTCTTTAATTTTTAGGTAGACTAACTCTATGCATATGCAAAGTCAGTTTAACCTAATCATGCTCATATATAAGATTATATTCTGAGTCTTTTTCCTCTCCTTAAACTCTTCTCTGTAATTTTTGTGTCTTGCAGTGTAGGAAACTGGACTCTTGGGAGAATGTCAAGAGCATATTGCCTTCAAATGGCACTAAGGTTAATGAAACGCTAAAGGTAATCTTTTATTTTAAGCTTTTAATTTACGGTTTATTGTATTACTTTAAAAAAAGTAACTAACACTCTGACTATAATGTATCTGCTATGTGTAAAATCACATGTGCTTCTAATTTGTGATGTCATTCATTTCTTGTGAAATGTTCTTTCCTTAGCATTGTCTTGCCTTTCACTTCCTCTGTCTTTTTATAGAATTAAAATATAACGTTACTTCAGATTTAAATAGATAATAAAATATTTAGATTTAAATCTCAACATTCCAATGATTTTTGGACCTTATTAGCCACTCTCTGCTGGTACAGAGATCAGGAAAACTAGATATTTTCTCTTCTTGGGTTTCCTTCTCTTTCACTTGTAAATTTGATCTTATACAAAATACAAATTATCCATTGTGCTGATGCTTTTATCCAAAGTAACTTGCATTCTGAATGCAAGTGTAGAAGTGCTGAATCATCTTCTTTACTAATATAATTCATACCTTTGTGAATTTCAATTCATGTTTCTTGGTGACTATTCCTCTTTATGTTCAGTGTTGTGATGTTTAGCAATTTATAAATGTCATCAGGTGTCTTCAATAATGCTCAATCATCACTAAATGAATCACTTAATTATCTCATTACCTTTAACACTCTTGAGTGTTAATTTAACACTCATATCGTCAATTTGAAAGCAGGTGAAGATGATTTACTACTAATCAAGGAACCGGCTTTACTGATTAGATGCGCATAACAAAATCGTGCGATATATCGCCCAGCCCTATGTCTGTGTCTGTATTATTGTCACATTTTTCATTTTATATGGTTGCAATAAAATGTAAAATAAAGGCAGGATCTATACGCATGCAGTTTTCTTTAATAAACTCAGCAAATAGATAATTAAAATAGCGAATAGAACAGCCACATATCATAGACGAGATCAGATTACTGAAAATGAGGGCTATATATAAACACTAGGGGTGAAATGAGGTAGTTAATTAAAAACAGGTACATCGTTTTGACACATGAGGGCAAATCAAAAACCATGGTAACAAATAAACACAGAGAAAAGAAAACTGATCTGGAAACAGTGAAAGTCAACTTTAAACAAAAATATTACAATAATATTGTGTTATGTTTTTCAGCACCTGGAGCGCATGCTCACATCTGTCTGTCCGAATGACTGGATTCTTGCTCTTCATCAAGTTCTGCTTATTCTTCTCATCCTTGGAAAGTGGCTCCTCCCACTAGGAGGCGGAGTAACACGTGACGAGCTGTCTCAGCTTTTGCTCATCTTCGTTGGCACGGCGGCAGACATTCTGGAATTCACTAGTGAAACTCTCTCTGATGTCAAGTGGGTACTTCCTGTTCTTAGTCAATAGACAAAAGGTTGTCTGAATATCAGTTCACATACTATTTTTGATGGGCACTACCATTCAAATTATATCAATATTTATTTTTTTAAAGAAATGAATACTTTCGTTTATGCATTGAATCGATCAAAAATGATAGCAAAGTCATTTATAATATTACTATTTCTATTTCAAACAAGAATCCTGAAGGCAAGAATCCTATTCATCAAAGAATCTTGAAAAAAAATTGATCACTGTTTCCACAAGTATTACACTTTTTTCAACTTTAAGAAATATATTTTTTAGTACCAAATCAGCGTATTAGAAGGATTTCTTAAGGATTGTGTGATGCAGAATATTGGAGTAATGATGCTGAAAGTTCAGCTTTGCCATATTAGCAAGAATACATTAAATTTTAAAGTATATTAAATGATGTTTTATTAACAAAGTTCAGGAGGAGCACATTTAGTTAATTAACACGAGTGGAGTGCACTCAGCAATCAATGATAAGATGTGTATATAGATTCAGCAATCTTACCTCACTCCTTTGATAGTTTAGTAGCATCCCTCCACCACCCCTTCTCCACACTTCCAGTCCTAAACACTTAAATGAGGGGAGTACTCTGGGTTCGGGCCAAACTCCGTGCTAGGAGCCCTCCCCCAGGACAGCACTCCAAATACACATTTAATCTTATCCACTTTAATTTTATGTAAGTGTGAAGTCGTGAAAAAGTTAACAATTGATGTTGGGTGCATTGTGTGCTCAATGCTGTTTTCTGGATTTCAGTGATGATTATTTGTCCAGTCCATTCTCAGGTGCCATTTGTGCCTGAAAAGATCAGCATTTGGTTGTTTTTTTTTTTTTTTTTTTTAAACTGCTGTCGCTGAACATTCAATAAATCATATTTATTATAAATCACTCATCACAATTGAACTGAAAAAATAATAAAAACCAATGACATTTCTCTTTCAAACTTTTGCACTGGTTGCATCAAATTCAAGGCACTGATGTTTGCCTACACAACCACTGGCTCTGCACCCCTATAACTAAACTCATTACTTCATTATTCAGTCTTATGTGTCCTCCAGAAGCTTGTGTTCGAAAAGTGAGCGGCGTCTTGTGGTGCCAGTGCAGAGGCACAAAATCACTTTTACTAACCCTTACCTTGACTGTTCCTTGATGATGGAATGACCTGCCATTACCTAACTCAACCCGAGCTGTGAGTCTTTAGCCGTTTTCAAGATGCATCTTTTTCATTAACACTTGACTAATTAATTCTATTCTATTCTATTCTATTCTATTCTATTCTATTCTATTCTATTCTATTCTATAGGGAGAAAAAAACCTTGCTACATGCACTGTGCTAGACTTGTAGTGCTGTACTTGTAGACTTGTAGTGTGGGACTTGTTACAGCACTTACATATTGTTGCCCCTATTGTTCTCCTCAGTTGTAAGCCGCTTTGGACAAAAACATCTTCTAAATGATTTAATGTAAATGCTATTTGTGTTTTGTACAATGAATGTCAGCCCTGTTAAGTTCAAAATGAAGGTTAATGTAACTGGCATTTACTAGCAAATATTACATTACACCACATTATTCAATATTTTTGTACCGTATATTTATGAGACAAAGAAACATTTGCCATTTTCTCAGAAAACCGGTTTAGGAAAAAAACGACAAATTGTTATGTTATATTTAAAAAGGCTTTATTTTTGTATGTATTTACTGCATATTTAATCCACAAAACTCCACTTTTTTCATTTTTCTTTACATTCTCTGCTGCAAAAAAAACGCTGACAGATATAATGTGACTACATTGAGGTTATGTGTCATGTGAACACAAATGGTCATGTATTGTGTGATATTCAGAGTTAATTGTTTGGTAGAAAACAGAGATACTGTAAGTATTGGCGTCTGAGAATCTGCTCTCTGTTATGCCAGTCACAATTTCCTACTAATATTTATGATAAGAGTTAGACTCACATATAAATGCTAGTACATTATTTTGTGCAAATCTGCATAAAACATTCTTCACTTTGTGTTATAGGGAGAACAACCATCAGCTGGTGTATGTAATCTTGGCAGTGTGGACGTGGAGTATGTTGCAGTTTCCTTTGCACCTGGCAGGTTTGTGATAACGTGTTTAACTGTGTTAACGTGCTTCTTTAACACCCCACCATCAAACGTCACAGATACTGCTTTGAAAAACAGAAAATGACCTTCAAAATGGTTCAGGATCCCTCAAATGACTGTAGGAGAACCCTGCTGTCCTGTGGAATCTTTCATCTTGCTCCATCAAAAGTATTTTTCTTACCCCTGGATCTCACACAAACCAGAGGTTTGGGATGTAACTCAAAGTAGCGCTTCAGTCATTTGCAGATCCACAGCATGTGTTTTTGTTTAGTTATGCTTCATTCCTGTTCCCCTTTGAGGAATGAGAGTTTTGGCAACTACAGTACATGTGCAGTATCTATTACCAAACCCCATAGAAAGAAGAAAGGGGTGGATTTTCTCGGAATCTTTTGAGATGTTTTCCATAAATGCAACATGTTTTCCATAAGTGCAACAGACTATTCACTTCTGCAAACTTGCATTGCTCAATGCTCTGTACAAAATTTCATTTAAATCAAATATAGGTCGTTTAAAATTTAGTCATTGATTTCAAGAAAAGTGCTCTGTGGCCCTCTGCCAAAACTGAAGAGACCGCCTTTTCAACTCTAGTAAAATCCAGCATCTTCAACTATAAAAAAATTAACATTTTTACAAAGTAACTTTTTATTGAACTGGTGAAAACATGAACTGTATACAAAACATGATTTCCTGCCGAGCAATTAGGCTTTAAAACTTGGCGAGTAGACCAAGATTCTCTGGTACACAAGCAACTGAATTAAAATATAAATTTAATGAAAAAAGTCTCTTATGATCACCAAGGCTGCATTTATTTGATTTTGAACTTACAAATGTAATATTCTGAAATATTAATACAATTTTAAATGTTTTTTTTTTCATCCATGCATCTTCTTCCGCTTATCCGGGGCTGGGTCGAGGGGCAGCAGACTAAGCAGAGATGCTCAGACTTCCTTCTCCCTAGACACTTCCTCCAGCTCTTTTTAGCAACAAAATTGTCAGACATCCATTAACGCTAGTGTATGCAAGAAAAACAACTGGAAATAAAGCGCTGGTTGTTCTCTTCATACTCGACAACAATGGAATCCTACGGCATGGGCGAAGGTATAATGCGTGTATTAAATTCTATGAAATAATCCCGGAAATAGCACAAATGCGGCAGAGGTGGCAAGTATTTACAGCAGCTGCTGGAATTAGCTGAGTGTGACTTTAACAGACAGCAGACAAATGGCTACAATCCACCTGTCACTCAAGTGGCCATGCCCTTAATTATTCAGGCTTAATATAATTTAAACGGATGAGTAGTAAAAAATTCACCTGCCTAACAGTTGTCATGAAGGGCAAAATAAACTATAAAGACCAAAACCACTTTTTGCTTTAGGCTGTAAACATGTTTTTTTTCTGCTGTAAAGTTGGGCATTTTAACATGGGGGAGATGCAGATTTGACTCACTTTTGCAGCCTGCCTAAAGCAGTCAGTAGATGAATTGCAGTTTAATTCACTTCAGTGTTGGTTTCAAGAGAGAGACAGGGAGATTGCCTCCTAGGTCTTCACCGGGGTCTCCTCCCAGTGGGACGTGGCCGGAACATGTTCCCAGGAAGGCCGCCTTGACAGGCACTGCTTCGACAATGGAGGTGGAGAACATGGTCCACTCGGACTCAATATCTCCAGCCTCCCTCGGGATCCGGTCGAGGCTCCGGCAGAGGTGGCAGTTGAAGATCTCTCTGACTGGAGACTCGGCCAAACGTTCCCAGTAGCAGACCCTTAAGGCCGTTACATAGTCAACGCATCGGTACGCATACGCGTCCGCAAGGCTATGCATCGCTACGCTTTGGCCGCCATTATGCGTCGATGCGTAGCCAAATGTGTCGTCCTAGTTTTTGATACGCGACGCACTGATGCGCGCAATACTATGCGTTATCGGTGGGGGCGACATTGCAAGAATTGTACATTAATTCAAATATATCATGTTAACAGAAGAAGAAGGTTTGAATACAATGGCGGGCGAGGAGGAAAAATTATACAAGCTTATACGCGTTCATCCGTATTTATACGACAGTTCATCACAATTAGTACACTCAAATAAAATTGCGTTGGAAAATGCCTGAGGAGAGGTTGCAATCGCGATGGGAAAGACAGGTGAAAATGGACTGGAAAAGTGCCCGTGACAAATTTACCAGCATGGTTATATGAATTAATGGTTTATGGATATGAATTAATGAATTAAAATACCAAATTATTTAAAATGTGTAATGGTTTTTACAAATTTAAATAATACCAAATTATAAAAAATGTGTAATGGTTTTCACATAATACCAAATAAGTTAAAATGTGTAAAGTGTTAAATAATAATAAAAAACTCATGCTTCAAATCAAACTTTTATCAATTTATTTGTCAGTGCTACCCAATCGTAGCACACTGTACTGGTGGGGAAACACGCCAGCATCTGATAAAAAGTAATCAGCCAGCTGCTCCCTGACAAGTGCCGCTCTCCGGGAGGGTCTGCTGCTGCCGACCGAAAACCGTGGTCCGTCGACCATGTTCTGGTCCCCCACAACGTGCTGCCTCCACTCTCCAGGCTGGACCTCTCCGGTGTCAGACGTCGCATCCACAAAGGCACGTTCAGTGGATGCCAGAAAGTTGTGGAGAGCCACGTACGCCTTCACGAGCTTCACCGCTTTTTCAGGTTTGCAGTGAAAAATCTACTACCCCCTGTTGCGTGACCGGTGTATTGCATTTTACGCATCGCCCGTGACGCTTGCGTCTGCTTTTACACTATGAAAGGGAGCGCGTCGCTCGCGTCACTCGCGTTGCTTGCTCGCGTAGCTCGCGTTGACTATGTAACGGCCCTTACAGTACGGTTGGGTCTGGCGAATCTGTCCAGCTTCCTCCCCCGCCATCGGATCCAACTCACCACCAGGTGGTGATTAGTTGACAGCTCCGCCCCTCTCCTTACCCGTGTGTCCAAGACATATGGTCATAGGTCAGATGAAAGTCGATCATCAACATAGGGTGTCCTGGTGCCATGTGCATTGATGGACAACCATAATCTTGAACATGGTGTTCGTTATGGACAAACTGTAACTAGCACAGAAGTCTAATAAATGAACACCGCTCGGGTTCAGGTCAGGGGGGTCGTTCCTCCCAATCACGCCCCTTACGGCCACCTTATGGCTACAGCTCTGAGTGGCCACTTCGACAATGGAGGTGGAGAACATGGTCCACTCGGACTCAATATCTCCAGCCTCCCTCGGGATCCGGTCGAGGCTCCGGCAGACGTGGCAGTTGAAGATCTCTCTGACTGGAGACTCGGCCAAACGTTCCCAGCAGACCCTTACAGTACGCTTGGGTCTGCCGAGTCTGTCCAGATTCCTCCACTGCCATCAGATCCAACTCACCACCAGGTGGTGATCAGTTGACAGCTCCACCCCTCTCTTCACCCGAGTGTCCAAGACATACGGCCATAGGTCAGATGAAAGGATTACGAAGTTGATCATTGACCTACGGCTGAGGTTGTTCCTTGTGCTAAGTGCACTGATGGACACCCTTATGCTTGAACATGGTGTTCGTTATCGATAACTAGCACAGAAGTCCAATAACTGAACACCGCTCGGGTTCAGGTCAGGGAGGCCGTTCCTCCCAATCACACCCCTCCAGGTGTCATTGTCGCTGCCCATGTGGGCGGTGAAGTCCCCCAGTAGTACGACTGAGTCCCCAGTTGGAGCACTTTCCAGCAAGCCTCGCAGAGACCCAAGAAGGCCAGGTACTCTGCACTGCCGTTTGGCCCGTCGGCGCAGGGAAACGACCCTCTTGTTCACCGGGGTAAACTCCAACACAAGGCGGCTTAGCTGGGGAGCTATAAGCAAACCCACACCAGCTCGCCGCCTCTCACCATGGGCAACTCCAGAGTGGTGAAGAGTCCATCCTCTCTCAAGGAGTGTTATTACAGAGCCCGAGCCATGTGTAGAGGTGATCCTGACTATCTCTAGTCAGAACCTCTCAACCTCATGCACAATCTCAGGCTTCTTCCCCACCAGCGAGGTGACGTTCCAAGTAGTTTCCATGTCCAGGGATGGGGTTGTCGAGACCCCCACCTTCGACTGCCGCCCGATCCTCTCAGCACCGCCCCCTTACGGTTCCCCCTGTAGATGGTGAGCCTACAAGAAGGCGGCCCCACATCGCTCCTTCGGGCTGAGCCCGGCCGACCCTGTGGGGGGAGGCCACCAGGCACTTGCATACGAGCCCCAACCCCGGGCCTGACTCCAGGGTGAAGCCCCAGCTTCGATTTAATTTTAATCATAAGGTTTTTTGAACCACTCTTAGTCTGACCCATTGCCTTGGGAGACTCTACCAGGGGCATATAACCCTGGACAACAAAGCTCCTTGGGTCATTCGGGTACTCAAACCCCTCCACCACGTTAAGGTGGCAGTTCATATATTATTTTTTCATATATTTTAAAATATAATTTATTCCTGTGATCAAAGCAGAATTTTCAGTATCATTACTCTAGTCTTGTCTTATGATCATTCAGAAATCATTCTAATATGCTAATTTGATGCTCAAGAAACATATATTCTCAATGTTGAAAACAGTTGTGCGGCTTAATATTTGTGTGGAAACTGGAATATTATGCGGGAAATGGAAATGCATTTGTTTTTTAGGATTCTTTGATGAATACTAAGTTCAAAACCACAGCTTTTGTTTCTCTCTTTCATGTATGTTACAGTTGTGACATCTCGGCCGCAGAACCCAGATGAGCCCATGGGTGGAGAAGGCTGCTGCATCTTGCTCTTGTCAAGACACAGTACAGATATTTGGAACATCGTTGAGAGTTTGTTTATCCAGGATGGGCCCTTTCTCGTGGTGCGTCTTATTGTTATGATATACTTTGATGTGTTCCACCAGATGTTGGTCTTCTTTGCTATCAAGAACTTCCTAGTGGTCGTCCTCAACCTCTACAGGCTCATTGTCATCTTTCAGGACTATAAACCAACACCATCATCAACATCTTCCTCTCCCACAGTCTAAAAAAAAAAAGAAAAAGTTAAAATTAACAACATTTAACTTATTTAATATTACCAATGCATTCTATTAACTTTGCCTGATGGTTTGCTAATACCAGGTTTTTGAACTTGGCTCCCAGTGGGCCACATTCCATTGCTTGGCAGTGTTATTTTTGAGTCATTGATCATTTTATAGTATAATTATGTTTAACTAATAGCTGTTTCAAACTTTAAAAGATTCTAAAGCAATATAAGTTAGCAGTACAAACATTTGATTCATAAAACATAAAAATACTTCAAATACAAAAATACAGGGTCATCCACACCTGTTTGGCTTTTTTGGTGGGAGGCGTAAGACAAACCCTTCTCTTTTGTGGCTGTTCGAACGCATTTCGACCACATGAGCGTTTACACTATGCACTATGCAGAACGTCTACCACTTAAAGTGGACGAGCTCAAACCGTTTTAGACGCTGTTTAGAACTGTATTTAGCGTCGTCCACTTGTGATCCGAACGATCAAAACGCAAGGCCCCGTTTACACCTGTACTGTTGCGCGGAACAACTGATGACGCCATGGTTGAATCTTTAGTCGATCAATCAACGGAAAGGGGTTTTTATTCCCCTGCCCACAAGAGATTAAATATTCAGGCTGTTTAATTGTATTCCCCCGAATTCCCCGAAAAACCTTAAGGAATGATACAATGACCTAAATGAGATAATACTTTTATAATTTTTATTTTTTTTTTGCATTTTCATTTTACAGTTTTTGTAATTTTTGTTTTTCATTTGTTATTTTATAAATAGTTTTTGTCAATTTTATTTCTGTTTTAGCTATTTTAGTACAACAAATTAAAAAAAAATTCCATGTTTTATGTTTTATTTCAGTTAACATTTATTTGAAGTAACAAAGATGTTTTTTAATGGTTTTAGTTACTACAATAACCTTGAAGCTATGGGGCCCGTGAACATTTTTAGAGAAATATTCAATGTAAATCAGTACAGTAAACTAAATATATTTCAAATAACAATTTACACATATTTGTAATAGCAGTTTTTTAGTTTAAATTTATACATTAAAATAAATAACTTTCTTTTTAGGATGGTGGCCCTCGCACCAGGACAAATATATTTAAGTCCATGGCATCTAAAAAGTTTGAGAAGTTGGCATCAAAAAAGTTTGAAAGTTCCCTGGCTTAGACTGCTTAAAAACACATTCATGGGTCACGACAGTTTGGTATATTTTGAATATGTTGTACAACCAAACTTGGCCCAATAGATTTTTATTCTTTGGTTCATAATTTTAAAATAGTACTTTAATTAAGCTTTCTTAGCATTTGACTTAGCATTTGTTTATATACCATTCAGCCAGTGTTGTGAACAAGATTATTTGACTCAAAAACATTAAGAGAACTCATTGTGTGTGTGTGTGTGTGTGTGTGTGTGTGTGTGTGTGTTATGAATACAAAGAGGCAGATGCACATTTATCTGTTGCATACATGCGTGTTAAAAGGTGTCTGCCCATGCATGATTATCTTCCTTGTGTGCATTCAGATATGACTCTGATACCAGACTCTTTGAGTCACTCTGATCTGAGATCAGGCAGAAATTATTGACCTTTTAGTGGAGAGTCTGTAGTTGCTTTACAACAGGTCCTAGATCAGCCTTTCAAAGTAACCTACAATTTAACCAGATAGTTACACAGCAGTAACCAGCATGCATCTAGTAATGCTTGTGAACCTATCCAATTATTACCTAATAGAAAAAATTATTAGAATAAATATTGGAAACAAAATATAAATATTTTTGTAACACTTTATTTGTCTGTCCATGTACATACTATGCACTTATAGTAATTACAATAACTAGGTACTAACCCTGAACCCACCCATAAACTTTACACATGTAGTTATCTTACCCAGTACTTTCTTAGGTAAGTACACTGTCCATGTACATATAGGTACAATATTTTTGTCTAGTTTGGGTCCAGCTGGATTCTTCATGTTTATGTATGTGAGAAGATCTATGCTGGATTTCTGACCTTTGGGTTTCCATGGCTTTTTTTTAACATTGTGGGGGAAAATTAGATTTTTTTTCCCCCACACAGACTCTCTGAGTTTCCTGATTGACTTTAAAGTAGACACACTGAGTTGGGTAGTTGTGTCTGTCCCCATAATCAGGCTGTTCCTGAAACATACACACATCCCCAAAGCAGGAAAACACACATTACTTCATTAATTAGATGAGGGACCAGTGTTCTATTTTTATCCAGTAGGGGAAACAGGAAATAGCCACACAGGAATAAAACAGGATACCAGCAAAGAAAGTTAGATTTAAATCAACCATGGCTATTTAACCTACTATACGTGTATATGTTATTTATGAAAAAGAAATCTGTGTTACACTGCTCCACTGTGAACGTTGATTCTCAGAAGATCAACACAGTTTTGTTAGCAAAATATTAACCTGTGGATGCATTTATGAAACAACAACCCCTATTTATCTAAGCAATACAGGGTATCTACTATAAATGTAAAAGGGAATGTAAGATGTTTTTATATTTACATTTTTTTATTACTGAATGATAACTAAATATGATTTTATTTAATTATATTTTACAGCCTTTTGACGTTTCCACAAGTACCCTGCATTAATGAAACTTGACACATCTGTGATAATTTAAGGAATAAATGCACATGGGTTTTGTTGTTAACTGAAAAGGCTGTACAGTAGTGTGGACTAGTCTGCTCTCAACCTTATGCATATTCATGAGTGTGTCTTTTCTCAATAGCACCCTTTGTGAATCATTACATGGCAGAGCTCTGAGAAAAGTCTAAAATGCCAATGTGACTGAATTAAATTACTATAAATATGCTGAATATGCTGTTTCAAAGACTAGACTATCTGTTAGTCATGGGACATGATAATAGGCTTTATTATTCAATATGGTACAATTAGGAGCTGAAGAAGAAATTGGTTATATTGGTTAAATATTGCTTTTATTCCAATATTTCTGTCCAAAGTTATTTAAAAAGGGGATAGGTTGATGATCAGTCATTTAGAGCTTGCTGTGCAACGACATTTGGAGTGATATCTTTGGAGCCAGTATAAAGATTTCTCTTACACTCAATCACTGAAACGATCCATTTCAGAAAAAACATCATTAATATGACAAGAAAACATGGTGTGATCTGTAGTGAAGCTGCTGGTATTCAACTTTTTACAGATTTGAAATAGAGAATCAAAAGATATCACGAGGGAATATTACCAAATGCTTTTTTTCTCCATATTTTTCTGGCCAACACTATGGGAAAATTACTGGAAAACCCAGAAAGCAAAAGAATAGTATGCTTTCATGCTGAAAGAAAAATGAATGGGTTGAGTGTTTGTTCTCCAGTGATCTTTTTCACTGCACTGCAGATTCAGATCTCTGATTCCTTACAGATGATCAAACGGTGTTGCGCATAAACCCTGAGCTCATTAGTCAAGACGTACTTAAAGACCTCACTCACAAAACTACAATTGAGCAAACAACTTTTACATGTGGGATTGAAATGAGGGCAACAAAGAAATCCCTTGTTAATTTGGGTCAGACAATTTGACGGCCATTGTAGAAGTCAAACTGCAGGACTACGAGTCAAATCTTCTGATACTTCCACTATTTCGTTGGAGCTAAAATTCGATTGCAATGGTCAATCAGCTGCCAGTGAACATGTCTAAGGATCAAAGAGTTCAGATTTTAGCCTACGATGAGAGGAGTCTTAGGATTTGCAAAGTGTGAACCCAGCTTTAGAAACACATCTATATTATAAACTTTAACATCATGATGGTTAACCTTTGCAACTAATTCAGAATTTACACGCATGCCGAACCACAGAGCCTGATCTGTACAGACCAGGCCCCATGGTAAATACAACAAGTTATCAAATGTATTAGTGTATTACTACAGAAGACATCAGTCAGACCATGATGGGATCTACAAGTGCTCTTTATTGAGAACAACTTTGATTATTCTTGTAATATCATTATAGGTCCACAAAAAAATATGTTTTATTTACAAACGGGTGTTTTATGCAACATATAAAACAGGATAGGAAGAGGACATACAAAAATAGACAAACAAAAGTAGAAAAACCACCCAGTAAACAAACCTAAGGTTAATTATTGCATTGTCAAAAGACTCAGATTGCATTACTGCAGGTTGGAGTACATCTGGACTCCCAGAAGTCTAGAGTCAGTTTATTATGACCCCTAAGATCACATTGCTTTAGTATAGATGTGTGCAGACAGGGGTATAAGATCTGAGGTGTGTCTATATCTTGAGGTTACTGGCTGGAAGACTGCTCTTATCCAAATCGTCAAAATACGGGTGTGTCATTGCTTGCCGTGCTGAAATCCTCTTCGGAGGGTCATAAATCAGCATTTTCTAAACAAAAGAGACAATGAAAATATGTGAGGAGAGAGAGGGAGATAAACGCAAACAGATAAGTAGGACACCAGTATGTCAGGACGCCCTCTTACCATGAGCAGGTCGATGCCATTCTTGTCTAGATTTTTCACTGTGTTGGCCAGATTCCCAGTTTTCCACTTTGGGAAGGTATTCTTATAATCTGGTAGTGACTCAACATCTGGCCAGACCTCATTGTTAGGGGTTCCCAGAGTCCTGAACACAAATGAACCAAGGGAGGAGAAAACTACATAAAAGTAGCCAGTAATTGTAGCATCTTCACAGCATTGAAGCTGCACACTATCTCAAGGCCAAATATAACAGTAATAAACAGTTTTGTTTCAGCAAGTGAGACGGTAAAGACATTTATTATGTTAAAAGAGATTCAATTTCAATGAATTAATTTCAATCATTTAAGTTAATTTATACTATAAAAAAATCATTTAGTGACAGTAATATGACGGCAAACACGATATGAAAAGTAGAAATAGAAGAAAAGAGCATGCATTAAACATTCAATATCAACTGGCACAGGTACATAAAAAAAGAAAACAAAATGGAAGCAATATATGTGATGCGATCTGGGAAACCCCGTCGGATGTGCGCTTGTACATTTTCAGTAAAGTCTAAATAGATTGAATGTCAGTTTATTGTCAAATTTGGGTTTTCAATAAATTATTATTCTATAACATCTTGTTTATATATCTTGGGGAAAATTCACTAGATTAGTGTTGAAAAATAGCGATTTATAGTGGCAAGCTGTAAGTCTGTAAAGGCCAGGGGTGCCCAGTCCTGCTCCTGGAGGGCCACTATTCTGCGGAGTTCAGCTTCAACCCCAATCATGGTCTTACTAGATACTTCAAGCAGCTGTGTTGGAGTTGGAGCTAAACTCTGCAGGCCCTCCATGACAGAGTTTTGGACACCTCTGGTATAGGCCTACCGGAAGATCCTGAAAAGCTGGTCTATTTCTGAGTCTCCATGGAAGAGTGGTTTCTTGGTGGCAAGCTCGGCAAAGATGGTGCCAATACTCCAGACGTCTACAGGTGTGGAATACCGTGAGGCCCCAAGCAAGACTTCAGGAGCTCGGTACCACAGAGTGACCACCTGTGCAAACACACAGCGAGTAGAAGTACGTTAGCCTAATTGATTACATAACGCTTTGAGCAGGGGGAAATTGCTGTCACTGAGATGTGTGTATGTACCTCATGTGTATATACTCTGACCGGGACTCCAAAGGCACGTGCGAGCCCGAAGTCTGCAAGCTTGATCACACCTTTATTATCAATCAGCAGGTTTTGGGGCTTCAGGTCACGATGCAGAACTCGGCGACAGTGGCAGAACAGAATCCCCTCGAGGATCTGATACAGGTAACTCTATAAAGAGGACACACGGTTAATGTTACTTCCAGGTACAGACTCTAACCATGGGACCTACTGTACAAGGCAGAAATAAATCAATATAAAACCTGAGAAAAGTAAAAGAATATATTCATTTAAATGCGAAATAATCGGCAGTGTTGAACATACATTATTTTAAAGTTTGATTTGATCAAAAACACAGTAAAAACAGTAACATTATGAGATATTTCTACAATTTAAAATAACTTTTCTAATTTAATATATAATTTATCCCTGTTATGGCAAAGCCGAATTTTCAGTCGTCATTACTGAAATCAAGTGTCACATGATCCTTAAGAAATCATTCTACACTGATTTAGGGTTCAAGAAACATTTCTTATCAATGTTGAATACTTGTGTCACTTTCTATTTTTGTGTAAGCAGTGATGCAGTTTTTTTGTAACAGTTCTATATATTCTTTAGTTAATAATACACTACTAAGATAGTGTATTATGGCAAGCAGCCAATACAAATGTTACTATATAATTACCTATAAGTTTTGATGTACACTGGGGTTCAAAGGTCCATGTTAAAAAAGTAAATGACAGAAATATGATTCAGCACCATTTGTTAATTAAATAAAAGTGTGCACCCAAGCACACACAACGTGTGACATTGATCATGTGAACACATCTTATACACTATATAATGCACCTTGACCAGCATGGGCTCCATGAACTGGCCAGATGGGATGGAGTCCAAATACTTCTTCAGATCCATGGACAGAAACTCAAACACCAAATATAACTTTGACTCCTGCATCAGTACATCCAGCAGGCTGTGAAAAGGGGAACAGAGAAAAAAAAATACAGGGGTGTATTATGATTTACATAGTAGACAAATGTAAAGTATTTGCACGATAAATGTTTCAGTATACGCAACTAGCAATTAATAAAGACTTTTAAAAGGGTCATATGATGCATTTTCATGTTTTCCTATGGTGTTATGTAGCTGTTCGTGCATGTATTAGATCTGCCCATAAATAACTTCATTTCTAAAGGCAGATCCAGACCCAGCTAAAACACCTCGTTCGAAGTCCCTATATGTGTAAATATTTGCATAATGTTGTCTAAATGGACACGCAAAGAAAGAAGGCATGGCTTAGGTTGTCAGCAGAGTTGTCGCCGCCATGTTGTGTATTTTAATTCGAAAACAAAAGCACTTTATTTGGCCTTCCGAAAGTAAACACAATTGGAAATCAGTGGTTAAGTTTCAGAAACAGAAGGTTAAGAAGTGGTTGAGGAATCACTGTTCCAGAACAGTACAACCAAACTCTTCCATGTGTGCAGCCCATTTTATGGAAGACAGTTTCCTAAGCCTGTGAGAGTAGAAGCCCGAATGTCCACAGAAGCTTCCCATAATAATATAGCATAATATGACCGCTTTTAAAAATCCAAGTAAAATCATTACGCTCTCATTTTTTGACAGAGAGAAAACAAGTAAGAAGATATCTAATCAGTTACATGCACGCAATCAGCAATTTCTATTCAGTAAATCTGACTGAATTGAAACACATCATGCTAAACTTTGAGGATTTTATTCTGTTTTGTGTAGATAAAGATGTTATGAAATCTCTCCGTCTCATACCGTACAACGTTTGGGTGCTGAAGCTCCTTGAGGAGGGAGATTTCTCTGACAGCAGTGCTAGGCACACCCTCCTCCTCACTCTCCAGGCGGATCTTCTTCATAGCCACCACCTGTCCAGTGGTTTTATTTCTGCCCTTATATACCACACCATATGTACCTAAAGAACACATACATGGATTTCCATAAGACATATACAGAAAAAAATACCAGGAACTCAAATGCAATTTCATAATCTGCCTTGAAACAAACTGACTGACTGCACACTGAGAGAGAGAGAGAGAGAGAGAGAGAGAGAGAGAGAGAGAGAGAGAGGCCAGAGAACAATATAAAATGGCCGAATACAACTCAAACGCGTAAGAAAAATCACAAAGATAGATTCAACTTACCTTCACCAATTTTCTCTATCTTCAGATAGTCATCCATTTTCTCTCAACAGTCTTTTTTTGAGGAAAAACAATGGGTTGAAAAAAGTAAATTTACAGTAATTACTCAATACTGATGCTAAAAGGAACTCACCTTAAAAAGCTAGTGACAGACAAACTTGTCATTTTTTATTTCAATACACTATCTAATATAGAATGCTATACATGTAGTATGCATGTATACATTTACTTAAATAAGTTACACATGATGTATAAAAGACTGACTGGACATATTTCTGAACATCCATTAACTTAACAACTTTTAGCTTTGACATCATTAATATATTCATAACACACAGTGACATTTCTGTTGAGCCATATTTTTTTGCTTATGAAAACAAGAAGTCCCATTTTTTAGATCCATGTTTTGCAAATGAAAATGTGACCACGTTGACGTTATATCAAAATGCAACGGAAACAAGTGCTAAAACCAAGGGAAGGCGACAAAGACCGTGATCTGCTTTTATTTAAGAACGATATTTGTAAGTCACATCAAACTAAATATTATTTACAAGTATAAACTGCATGTTGAATTTAAATGACTAACGTTAGTCTGTAGTATTTTTTGCCAATGGGGCCTCAACAATCAACTTGAAAACGTTCAACGATGAGAATCAAGATTGATAACAGGCAATCATCTTCATATTTAAAAACTCACCGGTTCTGTAACTATATCTAATTTGGATGAATATCCAAGCCCTCCTATTTTCTTCAAATATCTTGATGATTCAAGTTTTTGAGAAGAGAAAGAGCGTGCGGATGTTGTATCTCACCGCTGCTGAACTGCGAGTTCCTAGATTCAAACTGGCCGCTTAGACGTAATTCAAAGCAGCCAATCGGAGTTCGCGGTGAACTTCAAACCAACCAATCAGATGCTAGGGCGGTTAGGAGCGGGAGCGTACGTCTGTCAGACAGTACGTGCGCGTGCCCAGTGGTTTGTTTATTTATTGTGTAGGTAGGGAATTATAAAGAATATTCCCGGTTTTTCCAATGGCAGATGTTCGCTTCTACAAGATCGCTGGTAAGTTAGTGTTCACATCAGGAAAACCTTTTCTCTTTTTAATAGGTTGTCCTAAAAGACAGACTACCCAATACAACAGACTAAAACTTGATGACGTTCAGTGGTGCTTGTCTCACTTTTTTAATTCCATAAACCTTCCAATATACAAAAAACAAATTCAGTGATTACAAGGACACTGAATCTGCCCCACGTATATTTTGCCCCATTGTATTTCGTTACATTTTTTGGAGCACTTTATTTTTGTTTTTCCAAATTATATATAACCCCTGGATCGTCTTTAAAAGGGCACGCCATGCTCCGTCACCTCTCTGAAACAAACCCTGCAACATAACCTGCTCCTGAGCAGGTTAGGTTATCCTCAGAGTTAGTTGCTATGGTTACTTACATAAACCCGAAAGTTAGTAGCCTCCGTTTTTGGAACCGAAAGCAGAGGTTATCCGCTTACTTACTCCTAAACTTACCCGGGTAAGTCACATAACCTGCTTTCTGGAATCCCCCCCCAGTTAAATTGGGAAAATAAAATGCCATGATATTAGCTAAATTTTTAGGTTTCAGTCTTTGTTATTGTTCACACTTTGTATAAAGATGATTCTCTATGTTATGAAAGATATAACAGAATGATTTGATATTGATATTATATATTTTATATATATAATATATATATTTTATAACTCTCTTTAGGCAAATATTATAATTTTCCATAAGAGTGCTTTATCATTTATTCAATGGCAGTCATTGTGAAACTCCAAACATTTGGTTTCTCTGAAAAGCCCTGAATGTGCTCTTTACAGGTCATCCAGACTGTGACATGGTCTCAGAGATATTCGCTCAAATATAAAGTATGATCTGGACACATCTGTTTTTCTAAAGTGTGTGGTACATGCACATTCAAGCATACAATCCTCTGTTTGACCACTTGGCGTCACTGTTTGACCGCTGTATTTAGTAGGATGAGTTAATGTTTAGGCACAGATGTGCCCCAGAGAGAGCACTGTTTTTTTTTTGTTTTTTGTTGTTGTTTTTTTTAGTTTTTAAAAAACATTTTATTCTTCCTCTAGACATTCTTAAGAGAAAGAAAAAAGTGTGATGTACAATAAAAAAATTAACATGGTATGTACATATACCAGTTTACTTAGCACGCATCTTCACTCAAAGTGAAAACAAAAATTGTAATAAAGTTTCTCCTCAAAAGAGCTATTTAAAAACTCTCAAAAGGCCAATGAAGCATAACTAGGCTGTCTAATTACAGAGAAATAAAGGAGGCTTAGTCCCCATGATAAAATCTCAATTCAAAAGCCAAATCCTCAGAGGTAGAGACTTTAATTAAGGAAGTGATTAGTGACAAATTATTAAGATGCATGTTTGAGTCGCCCTGATTGGCTGAAGAGACCAAAACGTTAAGTGGAATGGAGAATCAAACTGATGATGAGTGTTGTTGTTGTCATTGTTCTTAAGTGATTTAACCAAACGTGTTCCTGCATCAACATCCTTGTTACTGTGGTCCAATCAACCAATCCGATTTGAGGGACGAGTTTACAGTTTATGTTTAGGCTTACAAACAGGATTAAGTGCTTCTACATCAGTGTATACCAATCATTCCCCTCTGATTTTAGGAATAACCCATGGATAGGGTTAGGAATTTTCAGACAGGAATGTTCCTCCACTTCTAGGATCAACAAAATTGATCCAGCTTGGCAAATTCACCATAATGCCATCACTCTATATTTACTTGATGTAAAGGATAGTGTATTTTATGCTAGATTTGTAACACTCCATTGAGTTTTATCTCATAATGATCTGACTGTACATTGTCCCTCTTATTACATGGCCACCATGAACATAAAACATTGGTTTGATTTGAAATTATTTTATTCTGAGTGCTATAGACTGTATGGTCGATGATACAGCGGCCATTTAGAAAAATAATTGGCACAGATTGAACCCACTGGCCAATCAGAATCAGGCATAGTGTAATAGAGAGTTATTGAGAGACTATTTTCATTATTATATTGAAATAGTTATTATTATTATATTTTTCATTTTAATTTTAGTGAAATTAGATTTTTTCTAGTGTTTTAATATTTCTATATAGTTTTTTTTTTTTTTCATTTAGATTTTTAGTTATGTTGGCACATTAAGATAAACTAAATAATATGAGATATCTTTCTTTGGTTATAGGTGAAATTCTATTTCAAGTCTTAGTTAAGTATAATGGCCGTTCCAGAGAGGCATATGACATTATTACCTCCACCATGTTAATACAGTAGTCTGACGTCTGTGAGAGAGTCTGAAACACATGAACACGTATTAAGCAGTCTTCAGGGAGGAAGATGAGCCTTGCATATTCTGTGTCCTGTCTGAGAGATGTGTGTATGTTTACATGAGCTTGTAGAGGAAGAGAAAAGAAAGAGGTCATAATAAAGGGGATTGAGAGTGAGGTACTGACAGGGGGGTGGGGGTTGGGGGGTGGACAAATGCTACAAATAGTTTTTAGGACACTGAGATTTTGGGGCAAGGGAGGGCTGTTGTGTGTTTGAGCGATTCTATTTGAATGTGTGTGTCAAATGTAGGGCAAATGCAGGACCAAAGAGGATTCCCTCACCTAGATTTCACACGACCTTCATGTGTGAAAAACTACAGCAATAAATAAGTGCATTTGAAAATTGGCTAATTATAAAGATCTGATTAGGTCATAACATTGACATTATGCTGATGACCGTATAGGCCACTGTTGACCATAATCGAAAATTGAATGTAAACACACTTAATGTCGCATATTTCGTTTTTTTTAACCGAAAGTACCATATATATATATATATATATATATATACTGTATATAGGCAATACATTTAAATAATGCTGTAAAACTATCAAAGTATTCTGGATTGAATATTGTCCATTTTCTCTCTCCCTGCGCTGACATTAGCATTCCTACCCAGGCTTGGTTGCCATGGTGAAAGCATGTGGTTTCCTGGCGTTGCCATGGGGATTTCCTCCCTGAACATTTCTTCAGCAATCATACACGTGTCTTTTCATGATTTATTCTCTCTCTCTCTCTCTCTCTCTCTCTCTCTCTCTCTCTCTCTCTCTCTCTCTCTCTCTCTCTCTCTCTCTCTCTCTCTCTCAATCACTGTCTTTTTTTGTCTTTCCCTGAGATTGTCAGTCTCCCCTGCTGAGGATCCTGCAGTTGGTGTAACTGTGTAAAGCACAGTTGATGAGTCTTGATTCCCTTCAGATGATGATGAAGGTTTTCTCAGGGTGACCTTCAGCAAGCGTGACCATATTGCTTTTCTCACCTCACATAGACACACAGATTTAGTCAAACGAGTGCACTTTGAGCAGAAATGATCAGCTAACGGGCATATAATATCACCCACTCACCCGGCCGCCCCCATGCGCACATTATGAGTTTCTTGTGCTTGTATTTATCAGGAGGTTCCTGAGGAAACACGCACTAGTGCTAACAAGACTCATTACGACAGCAGTCTTATTGAATGGCCCCTGGGTAAAACAACATGTGAGATCCTGTTATGTGATCTCTCTACTGCTATTTCCTATTAACACTGAAGCTAAAAAAATATTTATCCAGAAATACTTTATGGCCTTTACCTAGCTGATATTGGTTATTATTTCATTGAACACCCTTAACGGGGGAAAATAAGACTATATTTTTTAATATGACATTTTAATTATGTCTAAAACAATGATAATGATTAGCCACAAGTTCACAACTAACTGCTTTTTCCTACAGTTGTTTTTTTGGTAATGTGAGTATTCGGAGATACAAATGATCACAATTACATATAGGATTATTCATTTCATCCCATTTATACATTTGGTAGATGCTTTTTTAGAGAAAAACAATTTGGTAGATCATTTTCATTTTATCACTTCAGGCATTCCTTTTTACATCATTATCAATGTAATATGATTTCTGAATAATATTCTGGTAATTTCCTTGATTTTATGTATTTATATATTAGAATTGCATGATCCATAGTGCAAAAAATGCAAATTTGTATTATTATTATATTATGTGTTGTTTTTCCCCACTAAAAATATTTAAACTGAAAACAAGTTTTTTTTTTCTCTACAGTTTTCTTATTTCTTGTTTCTTATACCCCATTGACATTTAATTTTTTATTGATGTAAGCATAAATGTTTGTGAGGTTTATGCTTAAAACAGAAATCTTTGGTCAAAAGAGTAAGAAAAATGTTTTCAAATTCCAATTCAAGATATAGCCTACTTATAATATTTAATAACAATTTATATAATAGTGTTAATTTATAATTTGGTTTTACAGCACATTGGCATTTGGTTTATGAAAAAAAAGGAAAATATTCTTAAAGTGCTGCTCCAAGACAATTAAAACCCATAGGCTATAATGTTTTAGAGATATACGTGTTATATAGCTCAACTGAGCTCCATAAATAATTTTCACACTGCCTGCAGATTTACCCTAAATGGCAATCTGAAAGACATTAAGCAGTAATGTACTGGTAATTTCTAGCCTTATCATTGTCCTTTATTTTGTATTTGCGTGCATGTGTATGTGTGTGTGTGATTTGTAAAGGCTCTTCACAGCAGGTGTTCTTAATATTACTGTGAAGTGGACAAAAATAAACCTGTGTATCTCGGCCAAACATTTTATATTTCTACTGAGGGAACCATGTCATTCCTGAAACAAATTCATCAGTCTTTAAATCAGTTTTATCTTTTCTCAGCTCAGCTGGTTTCAGACGGTTTCTGTCACAAGGTGTAAGTGTTCACATATACCTGATCATTGGACAACCTTGGACAACCTTATTAGTTGGTGTATTTGTGTATTCAGTGTGCATGGTGCATGTTGTTTGTGGTTTGTGGAGTACATTTGAGAGCTCTGACCATGCCAGAACAACGGAAGTCCTTTTAACACTTCTATCAACACATACTTTATCTCCACCTCTCTTTCTGTCTCAGCTTGTCCATTTGACCTCAAATAAAGGTCACTTCCTCTTCAGTAATCTCGTAGCATGCAGTGTATGTGGGCTCAGGTTTTGTTTTTGCGTGCATGAGTGTTTCCCTGCTGAGTGTCATGCATTTGGAAAGAGTGTGAGCGAGTCAACAGTGAGGACATACTGTAGATTTAAAAGTGAAAAGGCAGGCTGATTTACATGTGAAATATACGTTTTCTGACAACACAAGACGTCATACAACTGACTCTTTTGACCATACGTTAACATCCGCCGTTTTAGGGCACCCTTTAACGTCAGTTAGATGACGATCCAGGGGTGTCACCCAACTGACGCTTTACTTTTAACGTCAGTTAGGTAACGGGGTAGGTTTAGGTCTGGGGTAGGGTTAGGATTCGATAATGTCTTCTAACCGACGTTTAAGGGTACCCTAAAACGGCGGATGTTGACGTATGGTCTAAAGCGTCAGTTGTATGGCGTCTTGGGATGAGACTGCGCTGTTTCTGACTAAGCCTAAAATTTAGGCTTATAGAAAAGAGTTATTTTAAATTCACAATATGAGTCAAGGTCGGGGACAGTGCCTCTGGGATGGCAGACCGGGGTGGTGGTCCCTCTTTTTAAGAAGGGGGACTGGAGGGTGTGTTCCAATTACAGGGGGATCACACTTCTCAGCCTCCCTGGGAAAGTCTATGCCAGGGTACTGGAGAGGAGAATACGGCCGACAGTGGAACCTCGGATTCAGGAGGAACAGTGTGGTTTTCGTCCGGGCAGTGAAACACTGGACCAGCTCTGTACCCTCTACAAGATGCAGGAGGGTTCATGGGAGTTTGCCCAACCAATCCACATGTGCTTTGTGGATTTGGAGAAGGCATTCGACTGTGTCCCTCGCGCCCTGTGGAGGGGGCTCCGGAAGTATGGGGTCCAAGGTCCTTTGCTTTGTCCCTGTGAGACCGAAGCAGGAGCTTGGTTCGCATTGCCGACAGTGAGTCAGACTTCTTCAGTGCATGTTGGACTCCGACAGGGCTGCCCCTTGTCGCCGGTTCTGTTCATTATTTTTATGGACAGAATTTCTAGGCGGAGTCAGGGTCCGGAGGATATCAGGTTTGGGGATCACACTATTTCATCTCTGCTCTTTGTGGATGATGTTGTTGTGTTGGCCCCTTCAGACCAGGACCTTCAGCATGCACTGGGACGGTTTGCAGCCGAGTGTGAAGCGGCTGGAATGAAAATCAGCACCTCCAAATCCGAAGCCATGGTCGTCAGTTGGAAAAGAGTGGCTTGCTCACTTCAGGTTGGTGGAGAGATCCTTCCTCAAGTGGAGGAGTTTAAGTATCTTGAGGTTTTGTTCACGAGTGAGGGAAGGATGGAACGGGAGATTGACAGACGGATCTGTGCAACTTCTGCAGTAATACAGTCAATGTACCGGTCTGTTGTGGTGAAGAAGGAGCTGAGCCTTAAGGCGTAGCTCTCGATCTACGTTCCTACTCTTACCTATGGTCATGAGCTTTCGGTCATGACCGAAAGGACAAGATCCCGGATACAGGCGGCCGAAATGAGCTTTCTCTTAGAAGCTCGGTCACTCGGGAGGAGCTCAGAGTAGAGCTGCTGCTTCTCCACATCGAGAGGGGTCAGCTGAGGTGGCTCGGGCATCTGTTCCGGATGCCTCCTGGACGCCTTCCCGGGAAGGTGTTCCGGGCAAGTCCCACAGGGAGGAGACCCCGGGGAAGACCTAGAACACAGTGGAGGGACTATGTCTCCCGGCTGGCCTGGGACCGCCTCGGTGTCCCCCCAGAAGAGCTGGAGGAATTGTCTAGGGAGAGGGAAGTCTGGGCATCTCTGCTTTTTATATAGCACTTTTTACAATAGAGATTATATCAAAGCAGCTTCACAGTGATGAAAGTAACTCAACAAAGTTTGTTTCTAGAAGAAAATTTCGTCATCATCCACCTTAAAGGCAGATCAATAATATAGTTGAATATGATTTTTAATCAAACAAATGCAGCCTTGGTGAGCATAAGAGACTTAAAAATGTTAAGAAATCTTACTGACTTTTGAATGAAATTATCCTATCTTCTGTTTTTCTTTCCTTTCCTCCTTTTAAACATTTGTCTGTGTGGGTGTCTTAACCCTGCTCTACTCTCTGACCTGACCAAACACATTTGGCACACATTAATCAGGCTAGCTTTAGCTGACTCTGAATCTCTCTCTCCCTCTCTCTCTCTCAGACAGAACAGACCAATGTATTTCGTTTTGTGCTCTGCTGTGGTCAGCCCTCTTAGCCGCTCTGTTTTATCTACCTGGCCTTTGTCATGCACACGTACACAGTGCTTTATTAGGTTGTTCAGCGCTGTGAGAGTTGTGTTGCATTAGGTCAGCAGGTTGGGAAGGCTTTGTTAGGATTCTCAAACTGACCTCCCACTCCTATCCTTAAAGCACTGCTCTGAAAACTTCCCCGCCCACAGAGAGTTGGCCAGCTTTATCATTTCTGCTCTCATTTTTACACCTCATATTGATGATGAATTATAGAGGGTTTAATTAGCCTGTTAAAGGAGAGCAGAACGGCTGAGGAAGCAGAATCTTGCTTGGACAGTGATTATGAGAAATGCCTGAGGTAATAAACATGCTAAGTATGGTGGACCATTGCCTTCAGAGGTCACTGCCACAGGAAACATATTTTGTTATAACTGTTAACAACAAAATGAACATTAAAAAATAATCCTGCTCATCAATAGTCTCATATTAGAGTCACAAAATAAGCATTCTATTGACTTTCTTTATAAAAAAAATAAATAAGTAGGCCTATACTCTAGTGGTATACTATGCACTTAATTTAATAACTAGCCCCCCCCCCCCCCCCCCCAAAAAAAAAAAAATGTTCTAGCTGATACATTGGATGGTAACATTTTATTTTAAAGGTCCCCTTTAGGCATTCTGTTGTCTGTCTATAAGGTACATTTTAACAACTCAGCTAATACCTGATTTTGATGCTCCCCCAACAGACATTCTACGGAGTATAACTTTTCAAGTAACTTATTCCACTAACCCGCCGAACCCCCTGAGTACCCATAACATAAAAGTCAACTAATATTCTAATGAGAGTTAATTCTAGGTCCAGCATTATTTACAGTCAACTAAAAGTCTTAAGTGGACTTGGATATGGAGTTAGCATTATTTATTGCACTGTACGTGGAAATTATTTTCAAGCAAGCACCATGCCCATTAATGGCAACATCTTCTTCAGTTAGTCAGCTTTTTAACTACTAGAGTCGTAACTAGAAGTTGTTGCTTTCACATCATCACATCACCAGAGATGTTTATTTCAGTGAAGAAAGTACACAGATGGTTTTTATTGGCGTTGTATTTCTTGTCGCGCTTTTGTTAATCTTGATTTCTCACAACTTCACGAAGTCACACGAAGGTCACCAAAACATGTTTTATTTTTTGTTAAATAATACATTGAATCTCATGAAGATCTACTATTTCACAGCACATCATTGTATAACAGACCAGCATGTATCTAGTCTGTGTAAATATATTGATCAGCAAACATGGTTCATGGTAACACCGGGTGAAAGTGTGGAGCGGTGAGCAGCAGCTCTGATGTATGTGAGAAAACCAGTGGAACTAAAAAAGAGCTTCAGTGTTTTTTTCTCACGGCTGTCTATTACTGTAGTAATGCCTGTTGCCACGGTTACCCATGACATCTCTTGTCCTGGAAATCCAAAAGCACAGTCACTGGTTCCTTTCTTTTATTACTGTCTTTTTTGCAGCATCAGATCTTCCAAAGGAGGTAAGAGCCATCTCTTGTTCATCCTGACACTCTTCATGTGACTGTCTCTCTCTCCCCCTCTCTCTCTCTAGGGAGAATCACACATTATTCACAGGTTTCCAAAAGCATTCAAGTGGGCTGGCAAGAGAGTGTAACCATGGTGATGGGGTAATGGAGTGATCACCGTAGCAACATGGCTTGACAGGTGGATGGAAGGACTAACAAGGCTTGTGATTATGTCTCTCTCTGTGTCTGTAATTGGCCAATTCCTCACCACTTAATCAGAGACTGATGTATTTTTAACCAAAAGTAGCAGCACAAAAGGAAATGAGCCTATCAGCTTAGTATGCCCTCAAGACACTATTTGAAGAACGAAGTACAAGTACACCATCATTTTGAACCAAGAGTACTCATAGTACTTGTGCTATTAATACAGTTGTATCCAACTTTGTGTTCTTTATTGCTGTGATTACACAATAAAGATCCATAATGTGGAGTGGTTGAGTATAGATATTTGGAGAAGAGATAAACGATAGATAGAAAGATTTGTGTACGTGTGCTTAAGAGCGAGTTTATAAGTAAAAGCAATATATTTCGGTGTGTGTGTGTTTCTTACACAGCTGACGGGGCACTTGAGCACTGAGGCAGAGCCAGGCGGTCACTTTGGAAAATAAGCTCTGGATATCCACACTGTTTCAGAGAAGGGGTGAAAAAGGCTGAATCAAATCACAGACATTCACTGGAGAAGAAGTGGGCAGGACAGACAGACCCAGAGCTCTGATGCCCAGTGGTGTAATGCAAATCTTGGACCCCCGGGGGGAATCGTGATGTGAGGCATCAGGTGGTCACGTCATAATATTTGTTTTGCTGATGAATTAGAATAAGGACAATTTAACCCTGCTCTATCCTTTCTGTGCTGTAATATTTGACCATTTAGAAGAAGTTATCGGCCAGGAAAATAATAAAAGTTAACCTCTAGAATTTTAATATCGGTGCATTCCTACTGATGTAAGGTGGTCTTTTTAAGAAATGCCAGTTATGTACACTATCCTTTTAAACTTTGAGGCCTGTAAGATTTTTTTTTTTATGTTTTGAAAGACGTCTCTAATGCTCACCAAGGCTGCTTTTATTTGATCAAAAATACAGTAAAAACAGTAATATTGTGAAATATCATTACAGTTTAAAATAAGTTTTCTATCTTAATAGATTTTAAAATATAATATATTTCTGTGATGCAAAGCTGAATTTTCATGATCATTCAGAAATCATGCTGATTTGATACTCAATAAATATTTATTATTATCATCAATGTTGAAAACAGTATTTGATGAATAGAAAGTTCAGAAGAACAGCATGTATTTGAAACAGATTTTTTGGGGGTTACATCTTTTCAGTTATTTTCTTTATCAATTTACTTGCTGAATAAAGGTATTCTGCAGGGTCACAAAACTATTAATCAACATGCAAGCTTTTGTGTGGCATAACATTTATTTAAACACATACTTGCTACTTTAATTGAGCTTTTTTTCTTGCAGAGTAAAATTGTTCCACGATATAATACTGCCACGAGAGTGTCCCCCTAAAGGGTCAAGGATCCCCCTTCACTGTTGATTAAGAGGAGCTTTCCAGATCATGAGGTAGAGAGGAATCTATCAGTAGACTGAGAATTCAGAAACCTTTAGTGTTCTGAAGAGTAAGCGAGCAGTTGTCAAGCACTGTTGTAGACTGAGCTTCTATGTGGCATGTCATTATGCTGCTAAAAGCTGCTAAGCTGATTTATATCTGATGGTTTACTTTGATCTCTAATGTTTGAGACAGGACCGGGGCTCACTCTGGCCCAAATTGCCATGGCACCAAATGAATTTGTCCTGTTTGAGCTAGATAATGTCATCCAGTCCATATTAAATATTTCAAACTATATTGAAATATAATGGGACCTTTTCTGCACAAATTAACTTTTCATGGTTAAGTATAAACGGAAGTGCCATCACAGTACATCTAAACTCAAATTCAGTCCCAGTTTTGGATATATTAGTCATATGTGTACTGTTTCTTAAAGCCAATGAACAACAGAAGAGAGTGTCACTTAGTTCGGTGATTAGTCACGTTGTCACGGCAACTGTCGTTTGGGGTGCCCAGGTGGCCACACTGAGTGGGCTGAAATTCGTGAAGCATTTACATATGGCAAAGCTTCCCAATGTTGGTATGAAATGATGTGAACAGAATTAGAGTGTCTAAATGAAGGTTTTATTTAACTGAGTTCAGCCAAACATGGCACAAGCTATGAGAAAAGCACACATTAATGTGTACAACTGGCTTGGCTGTGTCAACACTTATGAATGACAGACAGGGCTGTATTATATACACACATATAGAAATGTGAGTTTTCTTCTTAACACACGTCACGTAACTACATTTACTTTTACTGACCTCTTAGAACTTTTGTTGTAAGAGTTACGTGACGTGTGTTTAGATCCAGAAGAAAACTCATTTCTATTTACTCTGTCCCCCTCTCTAAATATATCCTTCTCTCCTCTCTTCCCTTAGTTTTTTTCTTCCAATTTGTTTGGCAGATGTACATAAACTGGGAATGTTCACTGTTTTCGTCACTTTCCGTTCTAAATAGACTGAATTAGTGTCTTTCTGTATGTTACATTGTAATGCCTGTTGCTGGCAACAAGTGACTTGCTTTATAAGTGAGTAATAGGGTGTATTCACACCAGGTTCAAATACAGTCTAGACCAAATACAATGTTTTTTTGTTTTTTTGTGGTTTGCTTTCGCACTGCCCTTTTTGCAAGTGTACCAAAATTTGTAAACAAAACCACATATGTGCTTAAGGTCATCCATTCATTGGAATTCGAACCACACCAGAACTTGTTTGGAACCGGATTACGGTTGTTTGGTCCACATCCGAGTGCGATTGCTGTATGCACACCTGCCCAAACGCACCAAGGAGGAAAACAAACATGACTTTGATTCAATTGGCTTTATGCCCAGCTGCACTACTTCCTGAACTTCAGCCAGCTCCTTGTTTCCTGTCTGCCATTATTGGCCAAATTGATTAATTCAGGTGTGTCTGATTATTGTTGCCATGACTACTGAGGTCAAGCACACCTGAATTAATCAATTTGACCAATAATGGCAGACAGGAAACAAGGAGCTGGCTGAAGTTCAGGAAGTAGTGCAGCTGGGAATAAAGCCCATTGCACCAAACAGACAGGTGTTAATACACCCATCGATTCATTAATTCAGCTGGTTCGATCAACCACTGATTCATTTAAAAACAAAACCAGTCTTTATACGATAGACTAATTTAATCATTCACTCATCCTATTTTTTTCAGGAACGAAACACGTGACTATCTTTATGAGCGAGTCATTGAATCATTTACTTAACCTATTAGTTCAAAATCACAGATTTATTTAGAAATAATACACTGCTGCTGTCTGGCTAGGAGACGCTATGAGTGGCTTTATTGCATCAAATATACTATACTCACAGCTGATTGGTCCAGTTTTGGTCTGTGATCTCTAATCCAGAATAAAACAAGGTTAGCTTTGTAGCGTAAGTTACTATGACATCCCCCTTACAATTAAACAAACAAACGGAAAAAAAAAAAAGTTTGCTCAAACTTACGTTGGTAGGAACTGAAACAAGCCTCTGAACATCAGCATGACTGTGATTATCGGAGTTACAGCCAAATTGTTTGTGGGATATTTCTTAATCACAAACTGATGTTATATTCTATTTTGTAAAATCATTAAGTTAAATCATTAATCATGGGAAACCTGTTAGATATATTGTCATTTAGAAGGTTTTATTAATGTAAATTTGGCAACAGACTGCCAGAATTTCGCCACACCACACGTTTCAACAAAAGACGTAAATTCAAGTGATCATTAATTATATGGTGCTGTTGCTATTTGGGAGATACGCCCTGTAATTTGTGGCTAACCGCAGAGACACCTGAAGAGAAGATTTTGACATCTGCACGCAACTGTATTTGATCATGTATGATTGTATACTTACTTTTTGTCAGAAACATTTTGAATGTCAGGTTTAGGAACTGAATCACACTCTAATGCTGGTAACCATGATTATTTAGATGATTGATGATTTTGCACGTTCCGTTCAGTGTTGAGCTTTCATTCGTCAGGTCCTAAAACAACATTCCTGTAAAACAGACGGTAATGATTTAAGCCATACCTAAGCCTAAACCTTTCAAATCTGATGTTTCTTATGTTCTGTTTCTCATTGTCAGGTATGGCTTAGTCTGGATTTTTACAATCAGTTAGACAGTTGCAATCCACAGATGTGATGTCTGGAGGCTGGGATGGCGACAGTGCTTATATACTACTTCTGTGTTGACATAGAGTGACAGTCTTTGAGGCTGTTTCAGCTTCCTCTACAGCTCGCAGGATGCTGGCCACACTTTAGGACAGGTCAGTCTTGAAGAACACTTATTATTTATGGTACTAACCACCAGAGGGCGGAACAAAGAGGCAGCAAATTTGTGAGAGCTGGGTTTGTGTGTGCGCCTGAGAGCAAAATCGATCACTGCCGACTGGGGGTAGTCCCTCACGTCCCAGCAATAAGCTGTGTACATCACACCACACACACAGATACAAAGAGATGCATACACACATTATAAATTATTCATGAGAGAGGTGGAAGTCAGTCACAGTGACACGCAAAATCACTGACTAACGCCTTACAGATAAACAGAGCTTGTTTTTTTTTTTTTTTCGGATGGTGGAGATCATTTATGTGTGTGTGAAACTGTGGGTGGAGCGACTGTGTGTGTGAGAGTGTGTTGTCAGTGATGTGCTGTAGGGCTAGAAGCTTTTGGTTGGCCAATCCCAGCCGTCTGTGACCAGATTACTGTCTTTCTCTTCACCCCCCCCCCGATTCCTCTCTCTTTTGGACACTCGCTAATTCTCTCACTCTCCTCCAATTTCCCTCCTCCCATTCCCTCTCTCTTCTCTTTTTCTGTATTCATCACTCTCTGTTGATGATTCTGTTATTCAAATGGAGAGGAGGAGAAAATAAGCTGGCTGTTGGGCCGCCATGTCTGTGCACTCTCATATCATAATACGCGGAACGTTATATCACAAACCCCTTGAGAAAGATACATGTTTTTCTAACAAATAAAGCAAGGATAAACCACCAGATACATCTAGTAAATATTCAGGTTATTGGGTGATTCTTAAAGGAATAGTTTCCTTGGAAAATTACAATGTTGTCATTTGCCCATCGGGTAAATGGGAGAGAGTTCCCAAATAATTAGCCAATATTTGCCTTTACCAAACATGCTAGAAACTGCAGCCTATGTGTGAGAGTGCGTATTGAATTTACATGTATGTGTTGTTTAAATTTTAAATAATAATTGTTAAAAATAGTTGGGGTGTTTTAGAATTCAGACTCAATTTAAAGTATTTTATTAGATAGCATATTACCAATATACACAAACTGAAAGGGGGAAAAATAATTCTGTTAAATAAGAAAATAAATTTGGTTCCCGTTTTTTTTTTTTAAAGAAATAAAATGTTTTATTCAGTAAGGACGCATTAAATTGATCAAATCTTTGTTACAAAGATTTTTATTTCAAATAAATAAAAGAATCCTAAAAAAATGTATCACAGTTTCCACAAAAATATTAATCAGCACAGCCAACATTGATGTTTTTATAGGGGTGATGAACTGAGAAATCAAATTGAGCTTTTGACATCTAGAGGTCATCATATCATAAGAATATTCTGTCAGTTTCAGAACGAAAAACGTCATTGTTAGTCCAATAAAAGCTTTTATTGACACCAGGCCCAGCAAACCACTCGTTTTTAAAAGTGGGGAACTATGACGTCAAAGAGGATAAAACACCACCCCTGCAGAAGAAGATCAACGCCTACTTCAACACGGCCGGTTTAGCCCCGCCCACCGATTTGCGCATTACACGCATAGCTAAATAACATAGATTCCTACCTCGTGATGACAAACCGGATCGAGCAATACAAAATATTGTGCAGTGCCTGGTTGTGGAAGAAGACAGTCGCTGCCTGCATAAGCTTCCTCTGGATTCCAATAGGACTGCATGGATAAACTTTATTTTTAAGGA